TTTTTTTTTTTTTTTTTTTTTTTTTTGTAAATTTTGATACCCTTTAGATCATAATTGTTCTTTATTTCATAAATTACGGTTTCATATTTTTAATTTTAGAATTTCTGCATGCCATCTTACGAGATTTAAACTGATGATCTATAATCCGGAATCGCCGAAGTCCCGACGAGTCCGGATTAATGACTTTTGACTGTATATGTTTCTAATACATGAGAGAGAAAGTATTTTTAAAAGAGATTTAATTTTAGGTACTAAAGACTTTTTTTAATTGTTATGAAATAATTTTTTTTAAGAAATATAAAAATAAAATTTTAAATATTGCAGATTTAGAGCTCTGAATTGTAAATGTAACATTACAGATATTCAAATTCATACCAAGTATTTCAATACCATCGACAGCATATAATACAGTCAAAGTCTTTAATCCGGACTTTGGCAATTCCAGATTATCGGTTTTTCCGGATTATAGGTCATGAGTTTAAATCTGGTAAGATGGCATGCAGAAATTATAAAATTAAAAATATGAAACCATAATTTATGAAATAAAGAGCAATTATGATCTAAATAGTATCAAAATTTACAAAAAAAAAGCTTAATATTTATTTGTTTACTTTAATAAACATTTCTTTCAATGCGCGCATGCGTAAAGCATACATTACGCATAGTCAAAATTAGAAAATCGCGATCAGAAAACTATTTGATGTGTGTTCGTGATATTTATAATGATGAGGGATTTGATTTAAATCATATCAAAGATGGAGTACATCGAGATGAAATACTGCATTTAATAAGGAATTATAAGCCGAATTAAATAAAAAATCTGCCCTGAAGATAAGGATAGTGCCGACAGATCAACTTCTAGTTCATTGCTTGCCACAACGTTTCCTCCCCCCGCAGAGCAGCATGAAATTGATAAACAGATTTCAAAATGGTTAGGGGAACAAAGGATATTTCTTTATCCATTTTTTTGCAGCAATTCCACTTTTTGTTTGATGGACATCAAAACATGCTTTCGCTTTGTAGATCCTTTGGCAGCTCCAGAATCGGAAATTCTTTTTGACATAATCAAAAGTTCAAGCTTACGTTTATAAAATATCTCTAACAGTCTGCAAAAAATAATAAGCCAGATCCGATTAGAAGATTAAGGAACAATGCAATCTGCAACATTAACTGAAATAGATAATTTTAGCTTAGTTTATACCGTCCATTATAAATTAAACGTGCATGCATAAACATATTATGCGCATGCGTAAACGCATATGTGCATGCATAAAGGTATTACGTGCTCGCATAAACGCATTATTCGTTTACGCATGCGCAGAAAGTTTGTAGCATTGAAGTCCGGATTATAGATCATTCCAGATAAGAGATTTTTGACTGTAATGACGTACATTTTATTAATCACAATTAATCTTGTGTAAAATTATAAGCCTGTTAATGATGAATACCAAGTATTTCACTATCACCTACAGCCTATAATAATAGCATACATGAAATTAATTACGATGAATCATATACTCCCTCTGCCCCAAATTAGTTGCTACATTTGAATAATTTTGTACTGATTATTGAGACTGAAGATTTTATGATTTTGTTTGAACATTTTTCAGAGTGTTACGTTATCAGTGAACAACTTTACTTACTAAGCATTCCTTCCTTAAATCAAAACCAAATTAGTTTAAAAAATCCAGGGTTCACACACCCTTAAGCCACACCCCATTTTGTAGAGACTCTTCCATCAGTAATCGCACAAAACTATCTTCTAGCTAATGAATTGTGAATTCAATGATTTGTCTTGTCTATACGATACAGTTTACCTTAAAAAGTCTTCTAAGAAGACATCCCTTCCCTTAGGCAGACAGCTCTTGAGGTTTTGCTTTAATCATATAAACCTTCTGATTTACTGGTGGTAGAGTTCTTACAGAATGGGGCGTGGCTTAACAACGAGCGAACTCTGTACATTTGCTTCGATAAAATTGTCCCAAAATAAGTCCTACTTTTGGGGAATGTAAAAACTGAGAATGAAAACCTAGTATGCAGCATTACATTCATTGTAGTACATTGTATAATGTTACTAATGTCGATCTATAAACTACATTAAAAGTTATTTTTGACTCCACCTATTTGAAATGTAACAACAAATTTGGGACGAAATTTTCGACTTAAATGTAACAACTAGTTTGGGACGAAGGGAATATAAAATTTTGTGACTGCTAGTGCTGAATATTAAGTATTTTAATATCATTGGCAGCATATAACAAAACATAAAGCCATATTCCATAAAATAAAAAGTATTATCTCTATTAATTACATATATATATATATATATATATGGATACTGCAGGAATCTCCATTACATCAAGTAAAACCACAAAACACTCAGCCAGGTAAACACAAATTCATGTATAACATACTGATATATGACACTAATTAAAGTGAGATGTGCACTATAAAATTGTGAAGCTAGTACAAACAGTATTCAAATATTCCTGGATCAAAGATAACAAATAGGAGATCTAAAAAGTAATAAATTTCGTAAAAAAGGTAATGCAATTATCATTTCTTATAAAATATTTGTATGCATGGATGCATTCTTGTTTGCATTAAACTGAATTGCATTAAATTCACTTCTCAAAGTGTTAACAATTGGAAAAAATTAAACATAAGTCATATATATAGTAGTTTAAAATATCATTTATGTAGAAAACAGGGATTATCTTCATTATGATAGAAAATTGTGTGATATTTTTATAGCATGAAGATGAAAAAATGACATGAAACTGAACATAAGAAGCTTGTTTATATACAAAAGCTGAGGAAAAAAAGCATTTTAAAAATATTTTAAAGCTTTAAAATTTTATGTCATGATGGCTTTAAGAAATTTTGTACTATGAATTTGTATTAAATCCATATTACACTTAACTAATTGAAATGCTATCTGTCCACGAGTGATATGTCTGTAATAATCATTTAAATACAATCGTAAAAAATTTGTTAAGAGGAAGAAAACTTTTCAGTATGGTATGCAACAAAATACCATTCTGTATTACTATTAGCAAACAGTTATACTTTTTAATAAAATATACCTTTAGTTATTAATGAGCTACTTTACAAATGTTGAATGTATGTGAGAGCCACCTAGAGATGAATTTCACAAAACCCACTGGAAACTGGGAACAGGAATCTCATCCTGATTGACAGGCCTTGGTAATGTAACTAGGTAATATTATGTACTCTCTTTTGAAAGTCGTGATGTGTAATTTTCAATATAATATGTTGTATTAATGTTTTAGTTATAAAATGAAACTTTTCTCAATATCTGTTAAAAATGTATAAATTTTCATTTCATTTTTCATTAATTTTATTTTATTTATTTTATTTTATTTTATTTATTTATTTATTTATTTTTTTTTTTTTTTCTCTTTTTTGGTTTAGCTACATGGTAATGGGAAAACTTTTGGTGCCCATTTTGCTGAATGCATTTATAAAGTTCTAGTCTAAACTGGTAATTTTCATTGGAAGAGACTGCTAAAACTGGTATTAAGTAAAATGGTCACTCTATTTCTGTTAGTCCCAGCAGCGGCTGAGCGGTAAAGTCACTGAACTCTGGCAGTTCAGTCCAAATTTCGAATCCCACGAACAGACAGGCTGCATCGGTGTTTTCATGGTTTTCTCCATGTGTAACATGTATACGAGCTAGTTTTCCTTAAAAAGTCCTAGACAAAAATATGCCTTCCCTTAGGCAGATAGGCCTCTGGCTTTACTGTAATTACATAAACCAAACCTACTTCTGTTAGGTGGTTGCAGGCCACGAGGTATGAATTCCCGTGCCAGAGCCCTATCTCAGATTAATAAATATGTGATGCCTAATGTGTAAATAGCATTCTGAGGGTGTAAATAGCATTTTAGAAGAAAAAAAAGTAGTTCCAGTGTTGTGAGGAGTAGGGCAAAAGAGCGAGACTCATTGTCGGCCAAATGTCCTGTCGACTAAGTGTCCATGTCGGTTAAATGTCCTGTCGGCTAAGTGTCCATGTCAGCTAAGTGTCCCTGTCGGCTAAGTGTCCATGTCAGCTAAGTGTCCCTGTCGGCTAACTGGTGTTGGTTAAGTGTCCCATCAGCTAACTGTCCGCGACCATTCAGAAACATATATTAGAGCCATATTACAACAACATGTTGTAAAGGTTGAACCCTTAAGATTTCATTCCAGAAAATTAACACCTTCTGAATGTAAGTACATCACTTTGATGAAGACCTTTTTGCAGTTTATTCATCAATTAAATTTTGGCCCATGATCGAAGCTCAAGATTTTGGGATATTCACAAATCATAAACCTTTTTATTTATGCCCTACAACAAAACATGGTAAGGCAACACCTCATCATATTCCTCATTTAGAATTTATATCACAGTTCATTACCGAGATAGTGAGAATCACACACTCACTATCACTGATATACATTTCAAGAAGTAATAATACAGTAGCAGATGCCTTTTTCAAGAATTTCAGAAATTCAATCTCTTTAAGCTATTTATTATGATGAAATGGCTCATGCTGAGGAAAATGATAGCAAGTTGCAAACCCTTCTCAAAAATAATACTGGTCTTGTTTTAAAGCAATTAAATTTCCCTTTAACAAATCTTCCAACTTGTGATATATTTATTGTGAAAGTGAAAAGCTTATTATTTCAAGTCTTAATTAATAATAATAGATAATGATATAAATGTTGTAATGATATTCTGAAGATACAATTGTTCTTTTGGAAAGTGTTTCCCTCCTTCCCCACATTTTGAGCCATCATGGGGGAAACTAAAATATGCTTCTGTGATGAATGTTTGGATTTTTCGTTATTTTGAAAAAATGAAAGAAAGAAGTAATAATGAGAACAAAGTTTAGCAGTGATGAATTATAAATAGTGATTGGGGGGATAAAAAATGTTTCATGTGAAAACTAACAGAATTTTAGAACTAAGCCTTCAAGCATTAACTTTTATGTTCTTTCAGTATTAGGCCATCATCTGAAAAAGAAAGAAATGATGTAAAAGATTTGAAAAAATCCATAGCTGTGAGAAACGAAGACTTACGGTCCATGTTGTCTACTTTACCAAAAGAGAGCGGGTAATCTTTAATCTGTATTAAATTTTGATATGGTATTAATATACTTTAATTGTAATGTTGAAATTTTTTCTTTTTGATTTAACTGTTGTTAAAGTTTAATTTTATAGTTTGAATGGGAAAATAATTTGCCTTATAGATTTTGGATCTGTTTAGCAAAATTGAGATCTTTATTATTAATTTCATTTTGAATATTGCAAATGCTTTATAAATGCTTTCATGCTGAAATTCTGTGAAATGTCATTTACCCAATTTAAAATGTGAAAGTTGTGCATAGCATGAGATAATTATTTTTCTGTATGCATAATTTTCTATTTATAATATGTGATTTAATATTTAGTGAATAAAAATAAAAATGTGTTATCTAGCCAATATGGCTTATTTAATATATTTCAGGAAAACAGAGGAAAATCTGATTCTCAACTTTATAACATTGTAAATTTTTATAGATGTGATGCCAGCATATGCGTTTGTTACATAGGTATCTTTGGCTCAGTGAAATATGTCTCGCGTCATATTTGTGTAACCTTCTTATTTTCTCATAGTACAAATCTTCTGAAAGAAAGATTATCACGGGTAAATCATTATCTGAGAGAACTTAGCAGAATTTTTCTTCTCTTGTTAAATATTGTTGGTTATTATATTATGCATTTCTCTTGTTAAATATTGTTGGTTATTATATTATGCATAATAAAATGTCCCCAATAATGCCTCTACAAACACAGGTAGTTAAGAAAAATAATAATAATTAATAACAGAATAATTTTTTCTATTTATTATTTATAAAAACGTTTTTCAAAACTTCGATTATTGACATAACAACTGGAAAAAATTATTATATTTGTTGTTACGAATTTGGTATTTAAAAAGCTAATGTTAGTGCAATTATAAATTAAATGGTTTTATTTCTTGCGCAGTGCAGCGCGTGACGAATATTAAAAGAAAGCTAAGCCGGAAAATTGAAAATACAAGAGCGCGTGCATTAAATAAATAAATATCTCTTTTTGATTTCGAGAAAGTACTGGAAAATTCTAGCGCGTGATTTTAAAATTTTATAAAAGGAGGAAAACATCTCAGTTTGTAGTTGTTGCTTAGTTTGTTGTTGTTTAGAAAAACTGCTCTTGTTGATTGTAGCGAATTCGCGGATTAGCGTTCTTTAGCTGTTTTGAATTACGTTCTATTAGACATTTGAGTAGTTAAAAGATAACTACTGTGAGATATTGTAATACTGCATGATAATTTGAGAAAATTTAAGCATTTTTTTGTTGTGATAATAATAAATTTTTGTTCATTTTTCATCGAACTTGTGCATTCATTTCATAACGAACCCGCACGCACGCAACAATTTTTGGTGTCAGAAGTGGGATTTGAATGCCAATAACAAGAGCAATGGAAGAACAATTCAGGCAAATGATGACTGCATTTGCTGCTTTCCAAGAAAAGATGGAGGGGGCCGTCAACTCCGTTAAGGAAGAAATGAAATTGGGCCAGGAATCCGTTAAGGAAGAAATGAAATTGGGCCAGGAATCCGTTAAGGACGAAATGAAAGCCGTTCAGCTGGTCAAGAAGAAATGAAAAGAGAAATTACCTGCGTAATAGAAAATAAATTTGAAGCTATAGAAGGCAGAATTGACACAGTTGAAAATAAAGTTGGACAAATTGAAAAAAAAGTTTCTTCCGTAAGAGATCAAATTGAAGAAAGAGTTTCTTCGGTGAAAGAAGAAATAGAAGAAAAAGTTTCTTCTTTAAAAGAACATATAGAAGGGAGAGTTTCTGCTGTGGAGGAACGAATTGAAGGAAGAGTTTGTGCCGTCCAACACCAAATCGAACAACAAATTGATGATAGGGTTTCTGCAGTAGCCAAAGAAGTGGATATTTTAAAGAAATTCGTAGCGACGGCAGGGAATAATAGTGATGGTTTTAAATTCTTACCGATGCCTACTCGTCCATCTCTGAAGCTATCCACATATGATGGGAAGACATCCTGGCAAGCGTATAAAACACAATTTGCTATAGTGGCGGATGCGAATGGATGGGATTCCCAAACTAAGGCCTGTCATCTCGCTGCTTCTCTGAGAGCAGACGCAGCGGATATCCTGCAGACACTTCCAGAAAACCAAAGACTTGACTTCGAAGCTCTATCCAGCGCATTGGAGCTGCGCTTTGGCGAGAAATGTTTAAAGGACTACAGCAGGCTTCAATTAAAATCCCGTCAACAGAAGCCCACCGAATCACTCCAGGAACTCGCCACGGATGTTGAAAGGCTGTCCCACCTCGCATTTACGGAGTGCCCGAGAGAAACGAGGAAAATTCTGTCGCTGCAATATTTCATCGATGGCATCCGGGCCCTGAAATACAGAAAGCACTGCGAATGGCAGATGTAAAGGATGTAAAAAGCGCTCTGTTGTACGCCGTGAAATTGGAGGCAGCCCAGCAAGCAACTCTTAGGGATCGCTACCCAGTCAGAGCTGTGCGAGTCCACGACCCAGGGGACCAATTGATGGCTCGTTTAGAAGATTTATCCAGACAAGTCGATGCTTTGATACGGAATAGCAGTGAGAACAAAGTGGCTGTAAGATGTTGGAGATGTGGTTCTGAAGGTCACCTACGACAGCATTGCAGAACACCCCAGGGCACGGATAATGAAACGGATGAGTTGACAAGACCAGTGAATGCTTTAAGACGGAATAGTGGTGAAACAAAACCGACCCTAAAGTGCTGGAATTGCGGTGTTGAAGGCCACCTACAAAGGAACTGCAGAACTCCCCAGAGCACGGAAAATAAGGCATACGATTTAAACAGACAATTAAATGCCACGGGAAGGAAAAGGACTGACAAGAAACCAAAGTGCTGGAACTGTGGAGCTGAAGGCCACGTACGAAAGAATTGCAGAACACCCCAGGGTACGAAAGTTGAGACAATTTCTGAGCAACGACGCAGGAAACAAATTAATGACCATATCAAGGAACGGAGGTTGCCAGATAATGAAAAACCCTGTTTTAAAGCGCTTAAGATCTCTATAGTGAGTGGCAACAATAACGGACTGGCCATCAATGGGAATATCGATGGAGTTCCTTGCAATATGATCATTGACACAGGAGCTAATGTTACCATCATTAGGAAAGATTTAGCTGAACAGTTTAAAGATAAACTTATTTGGACGCCATCCTGTGTTACCTACCCTTCAGACTGCGTCTGGTGACAAGATCGACATAACTGGGAAGTTAAACGTAAACATCACGTTTGGAAGTGCCGCCTACCATCACACGGCATATTGTGGCGGATATTACAGATCCATGCATACTCGGATTGGACTTTTTTAAGGAAATACAATTTTTCCCTTAGATTTCAAAAACAATAAGCTGCTTTCAGCATCTGATGGCATGACTATCCATCCTCAAAAGGGATCCTCGCCTGGAAATGTCGACGCCTTGTCCGAAAGATCGAGCTCGGGAAGCTGCCGAAATCATACCAGGGTCGAAAAGAAACTCAAGACTACCAGCTATTCTCCATCCCAGAAGCTCTTCGGTCGAGACCTTCGTCTGCCTTGTGACCGCCTGTTTAGTCGCCCTACGGATGCGCCTTCATCGCCTGAGGAACACATCCAAGATGCCCAGGCCCGGTTTGAGGGGATGCACCGTTCTGCACGAAAGCGACTCAGCTTGCCGACGGAGAAAATGAAGACCAGATGCGACACAAGAGCTACTAGACAGAGATCCAACAAAGGAGACAAGGTGTGGTTGTGGAACCCAATTCAACGAAAAGGACTGAGTCCTAAATTACAGTCACCTTCGGATGGTCCATATACAGTGCTGAACACAAATGACGACGTGGTTCGGATCCGTGAGTCTTCGAACTCTTACAACAGGTTAGCTTATTACTATGGCCATAGTACATAATGTAAATAATTGTAAATAGTATCAGACCATGGTCTTTTTTGTTTTTAAATGTGTATTTGATTTGTTTTGTATTTAGTATTTGATAGTATTTGATTTGTTTTGTATTTAGTATTTGACAGTATTTGATTTGTTTAAGTTAGTTATTGCATTTATTGTTCATGTTGTTTGATATTGTGATGTAATGTTTATGCCTCAGTTGCATTTATGCCACAGTTGTAAGTTTAGCTTCCTGTCCAGGGATTGTACTGCCCGGGACGTGCAGTCCTTGGGAAGGGGGCAGTGTTACGAATTTGGTATTTAAAAAGCTAATGTTAGTGCAATTATAAATTAAATGGTTTTATTTCTCGCGCAGTGCAGCGCGTGACGAATATTAAAAGAAAGCTAAGCCGGAAAATTGAAAATACAAGAGCGCGTACATTAAATAAATAAATATCTCTTTTTGATTTCGAGAAAGTACTGGAAAATTCTAGCGTGTGATTTTAAAATCTTATAAAAGGAGGAAAATATCTCAGTTTGTAGTTGTTGCTTAGTTTGTTGTTGTTTAGAAAAACTGCTCTTGTTGATTGTAGCGAATTCGCGGATTAGCGTTCTTTAGCTGTTTTGAATTACGTTCTATTAGACATTTGAGTAGTTAAAAGATAACTACTGTGAGATATTGTAATACTGCATGATAATTTGAGAAAATTTAAGCATTTTTTTTTTTTTTTTTTGTTGTGATAATAATAAATTTTTGTTCATTTTTCATCGGACTTGTGCATTCATTTCATAACGAACCCGTACGCACGCAACATTGTCTTAGAATTTTTATCTCCAAAGTTGATTAAAGGTGAATAGATTGTTGCTGTTGACAAATGCATGTACATTGATGGAGTCATGAAACTAATTAGTGGAAGCTTGTGAAGATCCTTAACTGTCCTATTTCTCGAAAGTTGAAACAGCTAAGTCCTCTTATATATTCCCAATTCAGTTTAAATCCATGTATTGGTAATTGCATTGGAGTTTGTTTTTCCCAAAATTTAGAGAGCTGGAATTCCTTTCCACTGAATACAGTCAAAAGTCTTTAATCCGGACTTGTCGGGACTTCAGCGATTCCGGATTATAGATCATCAGTTTAAATCTGGTAAGATGGCATGCAGAAATTATAAAATTAAAAATATGAAACCGTAATTTATAAAATAAAGAGCAATTATGATCAAAAGGGTATCAAAATTTACTAAAAAAGAGCTTTATATTTATTTGTTTACTTTATTAAACTTTTCTTTCAATGCACGCATGCGTAAAGCATACATTACGCATAGTCGAAATTAGAAAATTGCAACCAGAAAACTATTTGATGTGTGATCATAATATTTATAATGACGAGGAATTTGATTTAAATCATATCAAAGATGGAGTACATCGATATGAAACACTACATTTAGTAAGGAATTATAAGCCGAATAAAATAAAACATCTGCCCTGAAATAAGGATAGTGCTGACAGATCAACTTCCAATTCATTTATCCATTTTTTGCAGCAATTCCACTTTTTGTTTGATGGACATCGAAGCATGCTTTCCCTTTGTAGATCCTTTGGCAGCTCCAGAATCGGAAATTATTTTTGACATAATCGAAAGTTCAAGCTTACTTTTATAAAATTGCTCTAACAGTCTGCAAAAAATAATAAGCCGGATCCAATTAGAAGATTAAGGAACAACGCAATCTGCAACATTAACTGAAATAGATAATTTTAGCTTAGCTTATGCCGTCTATTGTACATTAACCATGCATAAAGGTATTATGGGCATGCATGAATGCATTATGTGTTGACGCATGCGCAGAAAGTTTGTAGCTTTGAGGTCCGGATTAAAGAATTTTGACTGTAGTTTCTAATTAAAGATTAGTACCATATATTTTACCCAATATTGACTTTTTTAATTTTCTCACTATTTTTCCACATACCCACTAAGAAAGGGCGAAATAGTATTGATGAGGCAACAAACCATATCTCTAAAAAGTATTTATGTGCCAACCCACTGTGTCACCAAAACCCAGGCATTCACACAGTGTTCTTGTGTTTGAGTACATGGGGATTTGCACTTGTAAAATTCAGTTTTCACTTTTCTGACTAGTATTTCTTTTTCTCATTGAGTATGTTTATTTCTGAAGTAATGAATGGTAATGTAACTGTGGAGTTTGCTCTCTTTTATTTTCATTATGTTAGACTGTACATTGAAGCTTTAACTGTTCTGAGGCAATTAGTGATCGTGGCCAGTGCACCATCCTGAGGTTGTGCATGATGGCAAGTTTGTACAATTCTTTAATTGTTTTAGTGAAAACTTATCTCTATGTACATGGGGGGAACATTAACATAAAAAGTTATAGAATGATTTTTTGAAAAAAGTATATTTTTATAAATTAAAAAAAAATATATATGGCACTGGCTACATCATTGAAAGATACTCAAACAATTTTTTCCAAACGCGCCAATGAGTTTGCATATGCTCTCCAAAATCACCAAGCAGTGTTTACTGAGGATGCAGTAAACACTGCTTGGTGATTTTGGAGAATAATTGTTAGAAACAATGCAGTGTAAAAAGTTCTGTTAATGTCATCAGTGAATTTAAAGATATTTCTTCATAGTGCTCAGTTATGATTTCTTTTAATTTAATTCACTGTTTACTAGTGTTCCTGTCAAAAGAGCATTAAAAATATCTTTAGCAAACTTTAAGAATTCCATTTCATGCATACTGAAATTTATAAGCTTTTTTGAGTCAGACCCATTTCATTTTCCAAAATAATTGCTGTTTCCAAACTGTAATGCTCTCATTCCAAATATATGGTTCATGATACTAACATTTACATGCACCGTTTCTAGGTCAAAGTATTTGAAAACTATCTTTTTAGCTCTTGATTTGCTATACAGATGGTACATTTTTTTTTTATCATTATAAAGAATATTTAGTTAAGATTTTTTGTATTATTAATTTGATTGATTCGATCATCCAATCCAACTTTTGAAATTGAATCTGGTAATTGCCTTCCTTTCCTTGATATACTCATCCATTATGAATTTTGGTTTTAGCACTACTGTTTATTGTAAACCATTATCTGTCTACTTGTCTTCCCATGCTAAATCATGTCACCCTGCTAAATTGAAAATGGCTTTTTTTTTTTTAGTCTTATATATGTCATCTTTTCAAAGTTTATTCATTGGAATCTTTGCTTTCTCGTGAACTTAGTTTAAAGATCCCATCTCTGATTTTAGTTTTTGGGAAATTAACAGCATATCTTGTCAATGCAGTTTATCCCATACATCAGCCAAATTAAAAAAGTGTTAAGATTTCACATTTCTAAAAATCCTTTATTTGGTAAATTAGATTTTCTTGAAGCTTTTCACATTCAAAAAATGTTTCAATTAATGGTTGTAATCCAGTCCCTCCTAATGCTTTCATAATTCTAATATATTAGTTTTCTGCATTTTATTACTATTACCTTACAGATAATTCTCTGTTTGTGTTTACTTTGCTTGACTTGTTTTTGATAGAAAAATAATTTTTGCACCGCCTATTTTACCAAAATCTTTTTGCTTGTGAAGAAGATGGATCTCTGTCTGATCACCCTCAAAATACAACAGAATGTTATTCAAAATCTATGTCAAACTGAGGTTGCTTTTTTGCCTATGTTTAAAATATATATACTGTTGATCAGCATTCTATGTTTTATGTACTTGATATTAGTGTAGTCTCCATTTTGTATTTATTTGTGACGCAAATGGTTTTGTTATAGGAAGTCTGCTGTGTAAATTTTGCTTGAAATGTTTCCTTCAAACAGTTTGAGTCAAAACTGAGGTCTTAGAAATAGTACATGAACTTAGCAGTTGTTTCCTTCCATGAAATAAAAATCTTCTTTAGTATTTGCTGCCATAGTCAATGAATATTATTTTCTTTTAAGAACTGTGTTTCATAAGTGATGTTTTGTTGCTAAGACTGTTTGCTGTCATAATTTTTAGACATAGTATTTCTCAGTATTGTTATTAACTTGACAACTGATATCAACGATGTGCTAATTAGAAGAACCCACATACATTTTGCCTTCCATGAAACTCTGTTGCATCTCTCATTTTGTCTTTAAACTAACTTTTACAAAGCTGAATTTAAAATACCTTAAAAGGTGAATTTAAAATGCTTTTAAGAATTTGAGCAAATTACTTAAATTTGGTTATATTTTCATGATTGTTCCTGAGGTAATGATATTTAATAATTAAGTATTTTTCCATTAAACAATTACATGCATTTCTGGTGTTGTATTTATGTACTTAGCTCTTTTTTCCCTATGCCTTTGTCTTAATACTATATGAAACAGAACATTTAGGAATGCCAACAAGGGAGCATTGTCTAATTTCATGACAAAATCATTCAGAAACATATTATGAAGAAAGGGGGCGAAATATGGCCTACATTATTTTTTTCTTTTTGAGAATAAATTTTCATCACTTTCAAAAATTTTGGTGTGCTTATCAATGTTAATACAAAATAACAAGAATTATTATATGTCTCACATGTAATTATTCTTGTGAACTGTTGTGAATTTTATTTATTTTAATGTCTATTGAGTTTTGTGAACCAAAGCTGACACTATAAATCCAATGACAGTTGAGTAGCAGTAATGAAAAGAATGCATTATCAAACAAACCATATTTTTGTTCGAAATATCTTTATCTTTCTAGTATGAACAAAGCTGCCAAGGAAATATACCAAAATAAGAAAAGTACCTACTGGTATAACTTTTAATAGAACAGTGCCAATAATTATATAAAAACTTTTATACAGTTTCTGTATGTAACTGTTCTTTTATACATGTTGGTGCTATTTAAGTTGTTTTTTATCCTGAGATTTTTTAATTTTAATTTAGATTTTGTGCTCAAAATAATATAAATTTGTTTTCCTCATCTTTAATTTATACATTGCAAAGAGATTTTGTTTTCCTTTCGTAGGTTGTATCTGAAAATTGTGCTAGGAAATGTTAATGTCACACTTTTAAATGAAGAAGAAAAGTATGTATCTTTATTGCCTTCATTCAGAAATTCATTTCAGTTTACTAAAAAATGCATTTTTTATCTTTGGGTATTCGCTAGAAAATTTTTTGAGCAAAGGGGGGATTGATGAGAATTAATCAGCATGCAAATGAATGCTAAAAATATACAAAAATAGAAATATTTCTTTATTGTTTCTTATTGTTTGTTTTTAATAATTGAAATTTTTTATAATGAGCCGAAATTTATTGATCGGTGATATTATCACTGTTTTTTATTGATTTTTATTCATTTATTTTTAATTCTTTAGCTTGAATTTATTTTTAAATTTCTTATAAAAATTCTGAAGAAACGTAGATGGAAGAATAAGTTGAGAGATTTATTCTGAGCATTTCTTTTTATTTATTATTATTATTTTACTTTTATTCTATATCTAATATCTTGATTAATGGATATTCAAGAATATCTTAGATATTTGCTGTATCATTGTGTCAGTGTTTTTGTTTATTTGAATTTACAAGTGTCTCATTTGTTTAAATATCACTAATGATTGACGGAATTAATGCACTTGTGTTTGATAGAGATCATGGCTAGTACAAATAGTATTTAACAAGAATTTAGTAATTTATTATATACACACACACACATATAAATACAGTGATACCTTGGTAATAAAATATAATGCACATATAAATACAGTGATTCTCCACTATGAAATACATCCGACTTGGTATTTATTTTTGTGGGATGTGAAAATTTGTGATTGATATAGTATGACATTTGTTTGGAATATAACTCGTGTCTGATAAATCATGACTGCATGCGCTACACTTGTTCACCTCTTTCAAGAAAATGTATGTTGCTGCCCATGAACATTAGTACATCTGTTATTACTTTACAGTAAACAACTGCAATATTCAGTAGAAAATTTTGAATTTTCAAGTGATTTTTGTGTATTTATAATTTTTTTAATTCATTAACGAGGAGTTTTAGGAATTGTAATGAGAAGAATCAAGCAATGATGAAAATTGCTAGGATCACCATGTGAAAAAAGAGCTTGTTGGAAAGTGTAAAGATGGTATGCATATCCAAGACTTGGCTATTGCATACTATATGCCAAGTATGATGCTGTTTATGATTGTGAAAAACAGACGCTATTAAATCAGCTAATATTGCAATGAGAATAAAATCGGTTACCAAAGATTGGAGATGTTAAAGCTTGTTAAAAAATTCCTTTTGATCTGGATGGTCAGAAAAACATTTATGTACAGTACTTTCATTTATGTACGATATATACTTCATCCACTATATTTGTATTTTATTATTTAACAGTGTTATAACAATAATAATAGGATTTTTGTGAGAACAGATTAATTATTTTACCTTTATTTCATATTCGAAAAGTTTTGTTTAATATATCTTCACAGATCTGGAACAATTTATTAAAATATACCAAGGTATCACTGTAATGTAGATGCATTATATAATTGATAATGAAATACTTAATGTTTAATTGTTTGTTAAATTTGATGTGTTGAATGGGGTTATTTCACTAATGACTTCTTTTCGTATGGGGATTTTATTAATTACTTTTGTTCATATGGGGATATTTTTAGAGTCAAGCAACTATAAATACTATATGGAAGCATTATTAATTTCAAACACTTAAATTCATTTTGTTATGTGCCTTTTAAAGAGACACAGTAACACACAAGATTTTCCTATCTACTTGACCTAAAACCTAATCCAAAAAAAAAAAAAAAATCATTTGAGTTGTGTATTAACCGAATTAACCCTGAAATAAAACTAAGTAGTGGACTGGTGAAAGACATGAGCACAAATAAAACATACCATTGACTGATCCAGTAGAATATGATTATTTATTTAACTCTTAAGCAATTTATATTTTAGAAAATTTTAACCAGTTAGGGAGAAATAATTGAATAAAATAAAAGGTATACTTTAACAAAATAAACTCACAATTTTCCTTCAAAACATTCTGCAATATCAAACATTATATTGAATTCACACTGGTAAGCATAATCGTTTACATTGTATGATAGAATAACATACCCTCCCCGGGGAGAAAAAAAGGAAATATTTAACAATTTACACTTTGCAAGAGCATTCCACACAGAGTAAGCATTTATGAACTTAGTTACATACACAAAATGATACTAATTTCTTATTGGACAGTTTAAATTTTGAGTTTTGAGATTGAGAGAACAAACCGGAATGATACTAATTTCATATTGCACATTTTAATTCTTGAGTGTTTGAGATGAGAGAATAAACCGAGTAAAATATTTAAAAATAAAATCAGGCTTTACATCTTAACAGACAACTTATTCCAACAGCGTAGTAATGAAACCCAATTAATTGCACCTGATATAAAAATCTTAACGATAAAAAAAATTTGTACTGCCTAATTAAATTATTTAACTAATAATATATTCCCCTAGCCATTATAATTAAGTTACCTATAACAAGAAAAAAAAATTTCTTAAGTACAGAAGAAATAGTGTATAATAAAATAAATCAACCATTAACTATTGAGAAAAAAAAAAAAAAAAATCATTTAGCTGTCGCTTCTAGGAGGCCTGGTTGGTGAGGTGGTCAAAGAAGAATTTCTTAATTTAACAGGTCACAACTTAAAACCCAGATGGTTTGTAGAAAGTTCTATGAAACTATTGTCATTGAATTTCTTGAAGTATAAGCGTAAAAATCACTTAAAACTGAGATGGCTTGTAGAAAGTTCTATGGAAACTATTGTCCTTGAATTTCTTGAAGTAGAAGCGTCACCAGCATTGACCTCGGTTGAAGAAATTTTAGTTAGATGAATTCTTGACTCCTTAAGGACTAGCACTGGAGCAGGTTATCGACAATTTTCAGCAACAGATATCATCCTTGAAGATGGCTCTGCAACAGGTCATCAGTTTTGACGAGATTTTTGGTTTCGTCTGAAGATCACTGAGTGCTGGACGTAAGCTGTTGTTAAACTATTTCATGTGGGTATTCACCGCAGATAGAACATTTGAAACTTATTGATAGTAAATGCAAAAAAAAAAAAAAAAAAAATTATGCAGATGAAAATAGGGCTGATGAAATTAATCTTTGCTGTAACCTTTTTCTTTAGCGAGGCAAGAGCCCCGTAGATCACGCGGGAGAAACTCCGCCATTTCTTCCTTTTAGCCGGCTCGCAGAGCATGTGCCTCTAATCCCCTGAGAACAGCTTAATTCGCTGCTCGAAAGTGTAATAAGCGAAAAAAGTCAAAAGTCACCTCGTCCCACAAAACAACCCGTTAAAAGGGAGAACGTCGGACTGCCAACTTGGCACAACTCACTCCTCGCCAATAGTTAAACCAGTTGTAACTACAGCATTCCTTCATGTTAGCAAACTCACCAAAGCCACCACTTTGAAACCCCAACGGAAATTCTAAGTCGCCAAGCCGTCGCCAAATAACCATGCCTAGTGAAGGGAGAAAACTTGGAATTTCAACAACCCTGTAAGCAGTCCCAACGAAGGAATGCTGAAACTCGAAAAAACGACTATTTTACCGAAAAAGGGCACTTCTTCCCCCCAAAGGAGAAATCACAAAGAAAATGGGAAAAAAAACTATTAATTAAAGCTCATAACTAAAATGCAATTAAAGTTAGGAAAACGAAAGTTATGTCAAATTAAAGAGCTAATTTTTCTGCAACTAATGATATTAAATATTAAGAAATCAAATTAATTTTTAACCTGAAAAACTGAGTTTATTACATGAAATTCACCTATAACTGAAATGAAAAACTGAGTTTATTACATGAAATTCACCTATAACTGAAATGAAAAACTGAGTTTATTACATGAAATTCACCTATATCCATTGTCTGAGTGTACAAGATTGAAGACGCAGTTCGCGTAAACTCGAATAGCCGAAATAGATTACACTAGAATTAATAAGCCAAATAAAAGAATATAACCAAACTTGTTATGTAGCTCAAATTTTGAATAGTTACAAATTAAAATTTTGATTTTTATGAATCACTTAATTATATTAAATTCGCTACACAACAATTTTGTTTGAGAGATCTATGTTATTATCCTTCTCCTCTCCTATAGACTTCCTATGAGAATATTGAAAAAAATTTAATTTATTGCAACATTTTAATGATATATCTTTTAAAATTGTGATTTAAAACTGTAAATCATACATTCCTTTAAGTATTTATTTTGCAAACCTTTTAATAAATTCTTTTATGCTTAGGTACAAATATAAAGATGAATATGAAAGATTTAAGCTAGTTGTCACCATTATTGTCCTCATCCTTTCATTCTTGAATATTTTAACAACATACAGGTTTGTAATATTTTAAATGATAATAATTGTAGTTTAAAAAAAACCTTTATACACAAGTTTATTATTAATAATGCATATTTACATATGATACTTGACATTTCTGAAATGACATTCTTAAATTTTTGTTGGCTACAACTTGAAGTATCTGATTGGTTGTTAAAATTCTGTATGGTGATAAATATGTTTCTGTACTTTGTCTAATCTTTATTCACAGGTGCGTGTTATTTTTAAACTATAAAAGAATAAGAACCTTTTTTTTTTTTTTTTTTTTTTTTTTTTTTTTTTTTTTTTTTTTTTTCTTCGGGATTTCAGTATATTGCCCAAAAAATGGTGGTACAACGAAAGCTTGATTATTCAGAAAGCTCAGGAAATCCCAAATTCTGGATACATGAAAATTCTGGATAATTAAGATATAAAAAAGTGGAAATATCAGTAGAAAAGCCAAATGGATGGGGAAAATTTCCTCTTTAAAATTATAAAATCAATCATCTTTTTTGTAACAAGTGTGAATATTAAAAGGCTACATTTGAAATTATCTAAATTTAAGGGGAGAAAAGCATTTCAGACATAAATCTGCTGTTTTTCATAAGCCTCAAACATGAAAGTAAAACATTGATCTGATTATGAAATCCTACTGAGTATTAAATTTGGTGGAGATGTCGGCAAACGAATATTAAATTTGGCACCAATCATTTTAGCAGAAGTCGAAATGAGCAGATCATTCCTTGTTTAATTAGGTAATAAAAAGATGCAGATTGCAGGTGAAGCGTATAAAAAATTTGAATCCCTTAAAATTGTTTCATTACATTGCCATTGTTTATTCGTTTTCAAAGTCAAGTATCAAAACTTTGAAAATGGAAACTATGTAACTTTGAAAATGCCCCTCTTCATGCAGTTCCAAATATTAACCATTTTCTCAAAATGTGAGAAAAAAATAGAACTTAAATCCTTCTTTATAAAAATTAAATCAACTTATCAAGAATTTGATGTCATTGCTTATCATTACTGGTGCTAAATTCCACTGTTTAGTAGCAATGTGTTAATACTTTGAGCTGTATAAAGCTGTTACAAATCACTCAATTTTTCAGATTTTTTTTTTTTTTTTTTTTTTTTTTTTTTTTTTTTTTGCCCCCCCCCTAAAATTCTAACATATTGCAGTAATTTGAGATATCTGGTTATTTGAATGCCAGTTATTTGGGCTATTACTGTATTTTGATTTTTATGTAATAAAATTGCATGTAATTCATAGAAACATGTTACGAAAATGAAATACTAATAAATTTAAATGTGCCATGAGACGTGAGAATGGAAAGGAATTGCTTTGAACTAAACATATTACATTTACAGATTGCCATTTGACTTATTTACTGTTGGTGACTGAATGTTCATACATAATTGCAAGAACAAAATATATATTTATTATCAAATTATTGCCCAGAGCACTGTGAAAGCCATGGGTATCAGATAATACATAATTACCCTATAAAGTTTTAGTGTCTTTTTCCTTAGAAATTTTTCAAACGTGAAATACATTTTTCCATAAAATTGCTTTTTCTTCTTTGTTGCTTTTATGTCTGTCTGTGTGTATTTCGAATTTAAGATGAAAATTAAGATATTTTGCGTCGATGGGTAGTGGTTTATTTTCTTAATTATATAAATATAAATGGCAAATATTAGTTCAATTACATTTATGCTTATGTTAAGATTCAGGTATTTATTTTGAGGGTTACAGCCGAAAACATCGCAGACGAAAACGTCGCGGAGAAAACAACGCAAGGCGAAAACGTCGTGCTACAAAACATCGTGGGAGAATACATCGCAAAGAGAAAACATCGCAGTTCTAAAACATCGTCGTCGAAAATAAAGCGCTTCAAAACTTCGCAGTTTAAAAACATCGTCGTCGAAAATATCGTGGTAAGAAATAAAGTATCTACAAATTATCGCATGACGATAACATTGCAAACATGCTTTTTTCAGGCTTTAATAACTATACATGGATATTCCCGTAATGATTTGTGAGCACAAGATGGAAAGAAGGATAATTTTTACTTTCATATTTTTTATTAATCAATAAATTTTTGCTGAGAAAATAAAAAAGAAACTTAAGCATAGAAAATTAATGCAACTTATAGCATTGAATAGAATTTTAAACCGACATAGTTAACTAACAAAGGCCATTAATAAATCAGTTTTTGTAAAGTTTTCACTGGTAATTTTTCATGAAAAGTATAATCTATAAGTTGCATTTAGTTTTCTATGCTTAAGTTTCTTCTTACTTTTTCAGCAAAAATTTATTAGTTAATAAAAAAAATGTGAAAGTAAAAATTATCCTTCTTTACATCTTGCACTCACAAATCATTATAGGAATATCCATTTACAATTATTAAAACCTGAAAAAAGCATATCTGCGATGTTATCGTCATGCGATGATTTGTAGATACAGTCAAAAGTCGTTAATCCGGACTCGTCGGGACTTCGGCGATTCCGGATTATCGATTTTTCCTTATTATAGATCATCAGTTTAAATCTGGTAAGATGGCATGCAGAAATTACAAAATTAAAAATATGAAACCGTAATTTATGAAATAAAGAACAATTATGATCTAAAGGGTATCAAAATTTACAAAAAGAAAAAGCTTAATATTTATTTGTTTACTTTATTACATTTCATTTCCTTCAATGTAAGTTGCTTCGCTTCATGTGATAATACTTTCTCTTTAATTCTATTAAACAGACATAATTTCTTGTTTAGTTACAAAGTTCCGCTGCTCAAGTCCTATAATTGCTGTGTTGAGAATACCGACTAATTTGTCAATCGAAATGTTTTCGTTTTCAATAACCTGTGGGTCACTTTCTTCACTATCGGAAGCGAATTATAATGACGAGGAACTTGATTTAAATCATATCAAAGACAGAATGAAATACTATACTTAGTATGGAATTATAAACCAAATAAAATAAAAACATCTGCCCTGAAGATAAGGATAGTGGTGACAGATCAACTTCCAATCCGCCACGTGAAATTGATAAACAGATTTCGGATCTCAAAACATACTTTCACTTTGTAGATACAAATTACATATTAGTAAATATATATCGGAAATTCTATTTGACATAATCTTTCTAATCTATCATAATCTAATAATGACGTTTCTGCCCCCCTCTGCCGCAGAGCAGCGTGAAATTGATAAACAGATTTCGGATTTCAAAACATACTTTCACTTTGTAGTAAATATATATCGGAAATTCTATTTGACATAATCGGAAATTCAAGCTTACTTTTATAAAATTGCTCTAACAGTCTGCAAAAAATAATAAGCCGGATCCAATTCGAAGATTAAGGAACAACGCAATCGGCAACATTAACTGAATTAGATAACTTTAGCTTAGCGTATAACTCCGTTACAATTTAAACGCGCATGCGCACAAACATATTCGCAGCCGTAAGGGTCTTACGCGCTCTCGTAAACGCCTGTGCGCATGCGTGAACGCGACGCATGCGCAGAAAGTTTGTAGCTTTGAGGTCCGGATTATAGATCATTCCGGATTATGGGTGTCCGAATTAACGACTTTTGACTGTACTTTATTTTTTACCATGATATTTTCGACGACGATGTTTTTAAACTGCAAAGTTTTTTAACTGCTTTATTTTCGACGACGATATTTTGTACCGCGATGTTTTAGAACTGCGATGTTTTCTCTTTGCAATGTTTTCTCCCACGATGTTTTGTAGCACGACGTTTTCGCATTGCGTTGTTTTCTCCGCGATGTTATCGGCGGACACCTATTTTGAGGACCAGGAGGATTTTGAAGTGTCATTTTTTATTTTAATTTCTCATTATATATTTATAAATATTCCAGAAACTGTGTATGCATAATTTGTGAGTCATTATTTGTCTTCCTTCATTGTGAAAGTTTCGACTTTTTTTTATTTGAAACACTTTTAGGATATTTTAAGTTGCAATAGAAATTGTAACATTAAAAATGGTAGATTTAATTATGACAATAAAAGTTTCAAATTTGAGGTAATATAAATATCACATAACAAGCATTTAGTTTTTAAATAGTATACATTTAACATGTATCGAAGTAAATGGATTGTTTTGCTTGTTTGTTCTCACTTGAGTGAGTATCTTTATTGATCATCTGTCAGTAACACATTTCAAATATATGTCTCCTCTTGAATTGTGAACTGAAATTTCATGAATGTCTTTTCATATTCTGCATAGTTATCACAACTTAGCAATCAATATTTTTAATTAAAGCTTCTTATGACATTGACATGTCTCAGCTTTTAATGTTACTAGGTGTATCAATAAATATCAGTAGTTGATGTTTCAAGTTCATAGATTTTAGTCCAGCTTCTGCATTCTGCCATTTATTCTGAAAATCAGTGGAACAACAGTATCACATTAACCCTATGAAGATAGCATATGTAATGCTTTGTTAATGGGAATAAACCAATGTTCAGTTGTCATTTGTATGCTTGCTGTGAAAATCAAACCTCATTATACTAGCAAATTAATGAGGATTACCAATATTACCTAGTGTAGGATTACTATTGAAATATTGTGTCAAGTTGTACAAAAGTGGCTAAAAAGTATTTGAAATATCATGCTTGTGTATGGTAAAGAAGGAAAGAGAAAACTGGCTATATTTAAGTAGCGAAAATATTTTAAGAAAGGCAAGCACAGTATGCAGAATGAGACAAGAAGTCAGCACCCACTATGTCTATGAATGATGAGAATATTGTAAAAGCGGAGAAGATAGAAAAGATATAAAGAATTGAAAAGTTATCTTTTTTTAATTGAATTTAAGATAAATTTAATGTTGGTGAAGCAAAATTATGTGATATCATCAAGAAGCACCTGGAAATGTCTTCCGCTTGTGTAAGATGGATTCCATATTGTCTGAAGAAAGAACCCAAGAATAAATCACATTTAATTCTGCCAAGCATTCTTCAACAAGTAAAAAATTATTCTGAATTTTGGAACAGAATAATCATTACTAAAAAATCCTGGTATAATCCACAAGTATAATCCACCTTTTCCTTCCTAGACATTTTGGATGTCTTATTCCTGAAAGAAATTAATGTGGATTTTATTTGTGTTTAGATAGCAATGGACTGCAAAGAAACAAATGGTAAATAGCGATTATTGTGCTGTTATTATGTGAAAAGTAATTTGCCCTCCCCCTCTTCCCTTTAAAAAGACACTTGAATTGCTTTATAATAATTATTTTTCTATTAGGATGTTGTTAGATCACATATAATATGATATGTTATGAAATTTTAAAGAAAATTAATGTGTGATTTCTAAACCTTTATAAATCATGCAACCTGCAGTTTCTGGTCTTTTCCAACAGAGTAAAGCTTAGTAGGGAATCGGAAGTGAAACTCAAGAATTGATGCAAGATAGTACCTTTGTACTATCACTATTGTACATCAACTCTTGATGAAAACTATCTTTAACATGAGTTTGTGAAGCTGAGGCATCTTTAGAAATGGTGGTTAGGGCGTGGAAATTGCTTTTTCAAAAACAAAATACATGCCAAACTTCCTAATTACTTGGAATCTGAACAATGATCTCTATCTATGACTTTCAGAATAACATTCCTCTCTATGGTTTCTATGTTATTGTATAAGTATTTTCACTCATCTTAATTTCTTATTACTATATATTCTGGCCTATAATGTGCACTTTTAATACAAAAATAAGATCAAAATTTACAGGTGTGCATTATACACCAGATATAAAAATGATAATTTTAAAAATAAGAAAAAGATGAGTATACAAATATGAGATTTCTACATCTACCTAAATCTTGTTTATTTAAAAGACATAACATATTTTTTAACTTAAAATTGACTAAACCAAAACTGACTTTAAAGTGTTCATTTTGATTTGCATTCGTTTTGCCCACTTTAAGCAAATAAACAAAAGCAATTTTTTGTTACAATTAATCCTTTCTAGCGATCTTGCAGGACTCAGCTCACAACACTCTCTTCTAGAATAGGCCATTTCATTACTTCTTTACTCAAAGCACACTTATTCTTTGGCCTATTAATTATTGTGATTTCATTTTTCTTCCACTCACATTTGGAGCATTCACTAACACTAAACATACTTCTTGCAGCACGATTTCCATTTTCTTTCTCAAACTGAATGGCTCTGCATTTGAAACCAGTACTGTGTTTGCTTTGTTTGGCTGGAGTCATATTTACTGCTAAAAAGAAAGATAGGACAATATTTTTCAACTGAGGCAAATGTGATTTATTTAAGCATTCAATGTTTACATCAGTGTCATGGCTTCAAATGCCTACAGAAGAAGAAAACATTTGACTCTGCAAATTCTTTTGGATCAGAAGTGCATTCTTACCCAAAATTATCTCTCTTTTCTTAAAACCCTAGAATAGCATTCTTGGGCACGGCGGCATTGAATACAACCCACCCTCTTTGCAGGATTATTTACTACATCAATCATTTCTCCCACACACACATATTCTTCTCCTTATCACTTGTCAGTCAGTATACCATTATTCAAAAGCCTGGAAAATATTTTCCCAGGAATGAATGTCTTCAAAAGAAAAGAGCATTGCACATATATCTTTCAAGTTTCTTTAGAAAGAAAAGGGTGCATGTTATGTGGTGAATATACCTAAAAATTAAATTTGTGGTTTGAAATTATACGATGTTATACACTGGTGTGCATTATACACCCAAATACATGGCTTACACCTTTTGTAATTTTCCTTGCATCTTCAAAGTTTAAAATGATAAATAATTTTCTTTGTATATTTGTTTTCTTTGTACATTTTTTTTTTCTACTGTTTGAAGCAAATTCAGCAAATGTGAGTGCAGAAACTATAAATACTTTATAAAAATGAAATCTAATTTATATTAAATTACTTAAAGTTATGCAGATTATTCCTTTTATGAAGCCTGAGAAATGTTTTGACATTGTTAGCTGAGTACAGCAATTGCCAAGCATATGTACTATGCATGCATAACATGGTATGAACTAAAAATTATGAAAAAACTCAGTTTTCTGTGGTGTATTATGTATTATTGCTAAACAATTGTGCGAGTTTACGTAGAAAAATGCAATAAAAGTGTTTCCTCCTATTTGTATTTGGCACACTTTTAGTGACCTGTACCTTTTGCCTATCATTTCTTTAATTTTGCTTTAGTTATGTATTATTGCTGAGCAGAGCCAGCTCCAGAGTGGTTGCAATTTTAGAATTTAGAGAAGAAGCAAACAGCAGGGTTTAGGGATGATAAAATTTTTACAATTTAGGGGATGCACTAGGCAGCAAAATATTTCGAATTTGGGAACCGCAGAAACTGTACCAGGCAGGAAAAATGCCTAGCATCTGTTGCTGAGTTAAATAGAATTGAATTTATAATTGGAAATGTAGCATTACTTTGGTTACATAGTTTATCAGAAATGCAGTTTGCATTTCTTTCAGTATTAGGTATCTTTGAAATTAACTTAATGACATTTTTTGATATTCCATGAAAATTCATTTGAGTTTTAGTAAAAAAAAATCTTTGAAAATTACTCTAACTTTGATACAGGATGAAACAATTTTTATTTTTAGTGAGGAAATATAGTTGACTGTAAGATATTTCTAAAGGATATAGTTTTAGGACAGATAGTAATTGAAATGAAATTAGGAATGAGTTTCATTTTAGTGCAAATTTTTGTGTTTCATTTAAATGTGTTTGTTTTATTTAGTGCATTGTATGTTTCAGTTTTTCCCCCCCTCTGTGTGAAAAAAACTTTTTTTATTATTTTATTTCTTTGTTTTACTAATTGAGTTTTATTATTTTGCATGTTAGAACACTAGATGCTCTTCTACACTTTCTACTAGTCTGGTACTATTGCACTTTAACTATTCGAGAAAGTATTCTAGTTGTCAATGGCTCAAGGTATGGTTAGGCATATACTATGAAAATGATATATTAAATAAATAAAGTAAAAGCATTATTTACTCTGAAGAGGAAATGTTATTTTTGCTGAATTTTTTAAAATTTATGTCATAATTTATGTTACAGTGTTTGTAGGAAAAAGATCAGTTAACAGTCATTTATAAGCAAATGTAAAATTTTATTTTGTAAAAAAAAAAGCATTTTCTTTCATTTTGAAGCAAAGCAAGTATAGTTTCTGCCTCAAAAGCACTGAGTCTTTTTATATATATATATATATATGTATCCCTGAAACTGTCTCCAAAAGATTAAAAACATATAATTTAGTAAAAAAGAATTTTAGTGAAAGAAAAGTTCTTTCTTTTTAATTAGTACTATAAAAAGATAATTGCAAGTTATAACATTTGCAGTGTGTGATTTTTTTTTTTTTTAAATGTAAAAAACTAAACTGTCTTCTAAAGAAAAAATAAGGTATATGAACAATAGTTTATGATTTCTTCTTTTTTAAATGTGCAATGAAATACTAATTTAGTTTCCTACATAATATAAAAGCATTATATATTTAATGCTTCAGATTTTAAAATCTTAAATTTTAAAGATTTTGATTAATGTAGAAACTATTTGAATTAGCAGAAGGTTTAAAGGCTATTAAATAAATCAATAAATGTAAGAATATGTAAAAAGGATGTGTTTGAAATGTATGGAAACATATATATAAGTGCTTCAGATGAGAATTGAATGAACTGTTTTAATTATGGCAAAGCATACAAGACCTGTCTGCCTAAGGGGGTAGGTGCCTTCATGGAGGAATTTTTTTTGACGGGGGGGGGAGGGGTCTTTAATTCACATTATGCATTAGAAAAACCATGAAGACTCCCATATAACCAGATCATTCCGTAGGATCTGCACTGATTGAATTATCAGTGTTCAGCGATTTTTATCATTTGACCGCTGAAAAAAGTATTGAAATGCTTTAATTTCACCTTTTCAGTTTTATTAAATTTTTGTACATTGCAAATACAGGAAACAAAAGGAAGCTATATGCATTTTTTTTAATTATTGTGAATGTAAAATGATATTTATGCACCAGAAATATTAAACCAACTCACCAATTGTTAAATGAAATGCTTGTAATTCACACTTAGTTCTGTTTTTCAATGCTAAATGGACTACCTGTATGGGATTTTCATCAGTTCTTTCATAGAGGGCAGCCAAATTAACATACTTAATATCCAATTTGAAAAGAAATATCTGTAAAAATTGCTTGGCAATAGTTATCTCAGAAAAATATATATGAATGTAATGTAAATTTAAATAAATATAACTGTTTACCATGCATTTCATAAATTATTTTTAACTTTGTTAAAGAAGAGAGTCACTAAAGTTTAATATTTTTCCTTTATGAGAGTAATTTAGTTAAATACGGTACTTTCTTAGTAAAATTAAGGACAGAAATAAAATGTCTTTCATCTTAAATCAAATCAGAATTAATATCAGCATTTTTCTATTCACAGTCACAGCAGGATATTTTTCCTGTTTTATTAAGAATGTTGGATGGAAATTTGTAATCCATGAAACATTTATTAGTTTGTTATAAAGTATAATTTGCCTTTTAGATGCTGCTTAGTTTCAGTTTTCATCAAATTCCTTGTTTTTAGCTTGATTAAATAGATATTATTAAATGTAAGTAGTTAAATGCAGGAAACTCTGAATTCTGTCACTTGAGTCACTATTTTTGCACCACAGTGTAATGATACCATTAACATATTCTTCTGTTTTATAAAACATGAGTTGTCCCCATTGAGATTTGATTTCAATTAACTTTAAAACATATGAATAAAATAAATGGCTAAGTTCAGTAAGGGAAGATTGATTTTAGTTATGGCGTTCACTAAATTGGAGGGGGAAAGATTATTCATATATGTTCAAGTATTTCAATATTTGTAAGAAAATAGCTTCATCGTTGCTTTTTTGATTATTAGTTTGTAAAAGATAGAACCCTTGTTATGCAGTTATTTTCTCAAAAATTTTATTTTGCAACTTGTTGGGTATTCAGTTTTTATAGATGCATTTAATAAATTAGTAACTAATGTATCATCTGTTATTATTTTTATCATATGTTGTTATATGCCATTATGTTATTATCTATTATATCATTATCAACCTTTTTTATATTTTATGAATGATTCCATCTATTTTTCGTTAGAATTAAAGGATGGTGGAGACTTCATCATTTTATTACTACAGTTCTTGCTGGTGTATTAATATTGTGGTATGTTATGTTTATATTTATTGATTTAATAAATGAAACATTTTATTCATCTGCTTATGTGGTTACTCCTTATGTGGTTTATAAATATATTTTATTTTTCAGGCATGATGGTCCTTCATATCAATTGTTTAGGCGGCAATTCATGTTATATTCATGCTACTCTAGTAAGTTTCTGAATTCAACATTCTGGAAAAAAATTCTTTATATTTTGGCTGATCAGAAATATCCAAATGCGTAATATAAACACTGTGTTTCTAAGAGAAAAGTATTTTAATATATTGAGTACATCAGAATCTGAAAACACTGATGATGTAAATATACAAAGTACCAACTCATAAAATTCACTGATGGCATACTGATGGCTAGTTTTGCCATCACAAAAGAATTAACAAAAGCATAAGTGCATTTTTATTTTGGTTTGTAATCCGCTTTTCATTTTGACCAACTTAATTTGACCCATAAAAATTCCTATTCCTGATTTTAACAAGGACAATTTTCTTCCTTAGTTGCTGAAGTTTTCCCTTGTATTTTAATATACCCAAGGAAACTGAGTCTTTTATTCTGTATCAGCTTTACTAATTGTTAAACAAAATTTGGAACTAAAATCTTCTGTTAATATTGCAGTTCAGCTTTACAAGTCTCTCTCGTATTTAAAGCACCATTGCATCTGCCTAGAATTACGATTTCACTCAAAAAAAGTACATTGACACTGATTTTGACTGGACATCGGCTGAATTCAAGCCTTGTCAGAATGAAATGCTTCATGTCTAAAGACAGATATTAATGATCCAATGAAATTGTTAAATTCTTAACTTAAACTGAAATTCTTTATCATCATAAACAATTAATTAGCTAATTTTTTTGCCTCATGTAATTTGCGTATATCTCATTTTTTTATCTTTAATTTAACAAATATTCTCTATTCGTAAAAAGCAAAGCCCCTTGGTCTCTTTATCAGTCATGCTTGAAATTAACAACAATAATAATAAAAAAAAAAGTCTAAAAGCTTTCAGATTTTACATTATGCCCAGAGGGACTGTTTTAACCTTTTGTGTGTCACCTTTATTTATTAAATATCATGTTCTTTACACTTAAACCGTAAATTCAATTCAACAGCAATATCACAAAACAATTTTAAAATGAGCATATCTTTAGAATTTCTGATACACAGTCTCGCATACTGAAGATAAAAATGGTTTTTTCTGTACAGTTTTGCCATTGCTTGCTTTGAAATCGTTGAAGTGTTACAAAATATGAAATTTAATAATAAAACAAATTTCAAATTCCAAATTAGGGCATCCAGCTGCCCATATTCAGTGGAAAATTACGTTACTCAAAATTTGATGGCTTTAGGTACTGTTGTTTTATCACAATGCGAGAAACATACATATACTTATGTAGATTCTTCATTATTTAATTTCTTTAAATATTACACAGGGTGATAATATTCGTGGCAACAATTTGAAAAGGGAACTGACATTCAAAGTTTTCAAAGCAAAATGCCAAAACAAAATTGATAGCTTTTCTGGGCTAAGCCTTTGGGCTAAAAAGTATTTCAGTATTATATGGAACTTTGAAAGAAGCCCAGAAATAAGAATAAACATCTACATCTTTAAAATAAGCCAGCTTTATAAAGAACTTTAAATTTAAATTATAACACAATGTAAACTTCAAAGCAGAAAACTGGCATTTGCATATTAATAATAATGCCTAAAACATAATGGTAAACTGTGCCAAATTCAATGCTTAAGAACAAACACTTTTAGGTGATGAAATAAGTGCACAGCATGCAGATAAGGAAAAAGATGGGCTACTCTTTCTCATTGCAGAACCCTTTGACTGTGTAAAAGACATTATTTTGTTAATGATACTGATATTTGATAGCATGCAGGAGGCAGAAAATTAACATGATAGCGAGCAATTCATTTTGTTTTAAATTATGATTCTAAAAAAATTACAATTACACAAATTTGTATATTTAAAGTAATTAATAAGGATTGTACTATAAGATTGAGATAAGAAATAACAATTACATTTTCACAGTTTTAAATTTATAGACATGAGCCATATGTATCACAGGCCTTAAGACGAAGAACCTGGAAAGGAGTGTTTGGATATTTTTGACCAGATTGATATTTATTGTGTTTTAATGTCATCCTGAAATTAGCAAGGTGTGTCTGTTAAGTAGACTGCTATTTAGCAGGCACTGTCGATGTCAGCAGTCACTCATGAAATTCTTGATTGTGTGACTGTTTACTAACAGCAGTTTAACTGTATTAATCTAAGTTTTTACCAAATTTATTTTCTCATTTTCCCAATATTCTTTCTTCTCTGTCCCATCCTGTCAACAAGGGTCACTGTTAAAATCTCATCACAATTCAAACAATATCTGTCAACAAAAGTGTGTTCTGTAAATAAATTTGGGATATCTAAAGCTTTGTTTGATAGTCACATTAACATTGGAAATTAAAAAGTTGTATTTGATCTCCATTCAAGAATGTTTCACCTGCCATAGCATCATAATTTTCCAATTAATAGCTTTCTGGTGAAACTGTATTTATTTTTAAACTCTCTTTCCAGTTTTGTGGTAAAATAAAATGCTATGGAAATTTTTATAAGAATTAAACAATGGTGTTCATAAATAAGATTAATTTGACTGTACCTAACAGGAAACATTACTGCCACTAACTCATTCAGTGTGCTTCATTTCTCTCAAGACTCACCTGAGTAGCAAAAGTTGTAGGCTATCCTGGGGTCTATTTCTGATAGCTAAAAAAACTTATTAAAGCTTATTATTATAGTGTGAATATGAACAATTAATGGTGTCTTTCTTATAATAATCTTCATGTTGTTTGCTGTAGTTAATGTAGAGTTTTTTAGGGGGCTAACTTATGATAAGCTTTCTGTAAGTCATTAGTGTATTATTCCCCCCCCCCAAAAAAAACCTATATGGAGACTTAAGTGTGCAGACAAAAAAGCTTACTTAGTGATTAGATGCTGTCTCATAAATTACTGATCTTTCTTCGGATTTTCTTTGATAATTATATACAGTGGGATCTTACTTAATGATCATAATTTGTTCACAAATCTTATTTGTAATGTGAAACACTCATTAAACAAAACAATTTTTTCCACATTAATCAGTGTCAAATAGGATGTGTTCTATTCTAAAGAAAATACTCAAACAAATTTATAATAATGTAATTTATTATTTCTAATATTTTTTTTACAAAGTACGAGGAAGTTACCTGGAAGACATTTGGTTTTGCCTTAGCTTCAAAATTTTATCTACCAATTTTTTCCATGGGAATCATTGTAAAATAGGATAATTTGTTCCATTCTAAAGAAAATACTCAAACAAATTTATAATAATGTAATTTATTATTTCTAATATTTTTTTATGAAGTACAAGAAAGTTATCTGAAGACATTTGATTTTACCTAAGCTTTAAACTTTGGCTAAAATGACACTCGGCATTATCATTAAATAAATTTGTAGTGCACATAACTACTGTCTTATTGAGGTGAGGCTTCTCAATATATGATGCAAAAGTTTCCCATGTTTCCAGCATCTCCTTTATTTCATTGGAAGTTTTTTGCACTGTGCCGCAAAATGCAGCTTCATTGGCTCTTTGGCTGTGATTTTCCATTAGTTCAGTGATGTCACTGCTATCTACCTCTGGTCCTACAGTCTTGGCCAGAGATACAATCTAGTTGATTATAGGTTCCAGAGGCACTTTTTCTAATCCCTTTGAGTCACATTTGACAATGTTATCGAGCCAAAGCTTCTTTCATGCAGAAATAAGGATTCTCTTAGTGACCCCCTGCCATGCCTTGCAGATCATCTTAAGGCAAGCAACGATGTGAAAGCGGTCTTTCCAAAACTCCCCGAGAATGAGCTTGTTTTCTTCTATTACCTCAAAACAATGCTTGAAGGGTGTTTTAGTGTAGATATTTTTAAAATTTGAAATGACCTGCTGTTCCTTAATCTGCAATAAAGAATTGGTGTTAGAAGGCAAGAATTGGATCATGATGAATTTTAATTCTTCAAGGGGGTCATCATTCAGGCATAGAGAACGTGCAGGAGTATTTTCGATAGCAAGCATTCACAGCATGCCAAAATCATCTCAAGCACTTTTTTTTTTTTTTTTTTTTTTTTTTTTTTTTTTTTAACAGACAGACTTTATTGATCCACTCTATGATAGGGTCATGTGTCACTCGAGTCTTGTAGCTAGACCTTCACATGACATTTAGCCTGCCCTCCTGATCTTTATACTTTTTGAAAGCTTATGGAATTTCTGAATGGTAAATGAGTAGCAGTTTAATTTTTAAATCACCACTCACATTTGCACAAATCAACAGTGTGAGACGGTCTTCCATTGGCTTGTGGTCCAGCAATGTTTTCTCCTCTGCTGTAATACAAGTTCATTTCAGCATCTATTTCCAGAAAAGACCCATCTCATCACAATTAAAAACTGGCTGTAGCAAATAACCCTCAGAATTTATGAGCTTCTTGAATATGCCAATGAAGTTCTCGTCTGTCTTTATGTCTGAATTTGCCGCTTCTTGGTGCCTTGCGATGCTGTGAATGCCAGAAATGTTCCTTCTTCATCCATTGACAATCCAGGTATCTTAAATTAGTTTTACCTCTCACAAATTAAGTTTTTGTTAATAGTGTTGCCTTGCATTTGCTTCTTGGTGATCCATATGAGAAGCAGTTTTTCAACATCATCAAGTACATGTGTCCATTGCGTTCTTGTGACACCCTTTGAAGCATCAGTCTTCTTAATCTTATCCTTATTGAGTATAGTGCAACTCGTTGATGAAGACCAATTATATGTGCATGGTAAGTTAATCATGTTCACACCTCATTCTTGCTTCTCAATGATTTGACTTTAGACTTCGATTGTGATTTTTCTTACCCATGTCTTTTGTGTCATTTTTTTTTGTGGGCATACATGTAAATATGCTTAAACATTGCACTGCAAAAAATACACAATATTTTATCTGACTGCAACTTTCACAAGTGACAGTAAGAGTGTTGTATACAGATTGATAGCTGAAATGCAGGCAGGATCCTGCATGTGAAGTCACGATGTCTTCTCTTTACAAGTTCTTCAAAACATTGCTTATTAAGTGAGTCTTTTTTTTTTTTTTTTACATTTTATTATTCTCATTATGTGAATCACTCATTATGGGAGGTGGTTGTTAAGCGAGGTTTGACTGTATATTCCTTGTATGAAAAATCTGCAAGGGATCATCTTATGAAAGATAGATGACACCTAGTTGAATCAGAATTAAAATTCAAAAGAGATATTAATTTGCATGTCATTTAGAAATATTAATCCATAAATGTATCAATAAATTCATAAATTAATGTTACTCTCTGCAGTTCAATATTTCATCATTTTTGATTAATTTCTATTTTAGGTTTCTTGCAGTTTTTACAATATAATTACCAACAGGGGTGTCTGTATCGATTACGAGCTTTAGGAGAAAGGTATAACATGGACATAACAGTGGGTAAGTATGTGATTTTACTATGATAATTCTGCATTTATGTGTAAAGTGTATTCGCAGTACTTAAATGAAATATTTCTAAAACATGAAGATTCAGACAGGATTGTAGGATCTAAAAATCATTATGTTAATATTTGTCAAACTAGTGAGAATATAAATGTATTATTTGTTTAATGCATTTTTTAACCTACATATATTTAAAAAAATTTTTTCTGTTGAATAATTTAGTGATGTTTATTTATGATTGAATAAATGTCATTTTAGTGTAAGATGAGGATATTGACGCAAATATTTAAGTGTATTATTTCTATTATCAGAAATTTTATTGGTCTAACTTTAGTTCTTTTGTTTTTCTCATATTCTTTTGGGACTTATTTATCAGATAACATCTATATTTATTCCTTTATTTGCCCTGCATTCATGTTGTTATCTTTGGATTTTTATTTCTTTCCCTTTCTTGATCCTAACTTTTTCAGCTATTTTCTTTATTTCATTTCTTTCCTGAATTTGCAGTTTAGGAGGATTTTTATTTACTTATTTATTTATTTTCTTTTACAGCTTTCTTGTGTTTATGGGTGTACCATAGTTGCACAGTATCTTCATCTGTAGATTTATTCTTTTGCTTTTCTTTACATTTTTGACGAAGGATAACTTAATGCATCTTAAAGCTTGAGACTTTCATTCTGTGATTAGTATTATGCATTTTTAAATGCAGTTTTTAATATAGATTATGTTCCTCTCTAATGGTCTGATGGGGAAAGCAGAAATTAAGATGCTATTTGAGGTGTGTGCAAATGCGTACATCTTTGAAACTACAAATGTATTGAAATATACCATTCAATAGATTATCAAACACAAAAAATACACATTAGCAAACACAAAAAAATATTTTTGAAAATTAAAAACTTGGACAAAGGGTATATGCATAGTAATTCATCAAAAATAGCAAAATTTTAATGAAGCTCCGTTCATATACACATGCATTGCATGGCAAGGTTCTCTGGTAGACAGCCAGTGTGTTTGGGTGGTAATATGGTGCCAAGTAGCTATTTCATTTATAGATTTAACATTTACTAGAAATATAACTGCAGACATCTTTAGGTATCTTATTACTCATACCACTGACTAATTTTACATAAGGTCATTCCTAATGAATAAATGTAATAAATAAAATATATATGTGTGTGTATTTTTTTTTTTTTTTTTTTTTTTTTTTTTTTTTTTTTTTTCCCCTATAAAATTGTCACACTTTTATCAGTAATCCTAACCATTAAGTACCACCGGCTCTCTAAACTAAAAGAGAAAGCCTACCATTATTATTATTTTTTTCATTTAACACTCATATGTTCTTGATGTCTTGGACAGAAACCACTATCAATACGTGTATCAGAAAATCTGAAATTTGGCTTTGTAATGTAAGCCATTTTTAGTTTTAAAGTTTTAATTAATTAAATTTATATTAAGATTACAGCCTTCCATTACACGTATTTGAAGTTTCAATATTTGAAAATTGTCATCTTCTCACTGAATGGGTTCTGTATTTTTACTTCATGGATTAAATTGTAACTGAAGCTTTAATTACATGTGCTAAAGCTTTCCTCGTAGATGATATGTGTACTGTTTTTAAATTACTCTTTAGTATATTCACTATTAAATCAGCATCAGTATTTTTTATGTCAACTATTATTTTCATGTAATTCATTGTTGATCAGTGATATTGCTGTAATTGAATTTAATTTAGTAATATTTAAAAATGACAAATTGAAAGAATTGTAGATAAATGTTTAAATTATTAAAACAATGCAATCCTTGTTGGTTGAATGGTACAAATTAATGCTATAAATGAAAAGAAACGAAAAATGAAATAGGAAGAAACTAGGTTTTAAATATAAGGATGAATTTACAGCTTGCTTTATTTAAATAAATGTTTGTTTGATATTTTATAATTATTTTTAAAAATTTACAGGCTTAAAAAAAAACATGCAAAGCAAATGTACTAAAACAGACATTAAGTTTTCATTTAGTGTAAACTCCTCAAAAAAAGAAAAAAAAAAAGTTACAAAATTAACCTTAAGAAAGTAATAAAAATTTTTCAAAATTTTTTTTTTAGAAAACTGAAATTTGTATCCAAAAAATTAACAAAAGTTATTATTAAACAAGGAATAATTTTTAATGACTTTTAGCTGGATTGAAGCTTGTTATTTTTAGTTATAAAGTGGCTCAGCCAAAATTTTATCAGAAAATTAAGAAGGAAAAAGAAAAGAAGCTGAAAATGATATTTTGCGTAAAGTTAAAAATCATCTAAGTCATTAAACAGTTTCTGACAAAATGCAAGAGTCTCTTACTACATTATACATAATTTTTTTTTAATTTACAAGTAACATCTTTGGTTTCAATTACCGTATTTGACGACATATAAAGACGCACCCTTATTTAGACAGCCACACACAAGGAAGAAAAGTTTCAATAGCCTGGTTTCTTTTAGTTTTCACGTTTTGTAAAAGCCAAATAAACAATTATTGAATGCAATTACCTTCACGTATAAGACGCAGGTAACTTTTTTGAGACCAAATTTAGGGAAAAAAGTGCATCTTATATGCCGTCAAATATGGTAATATTTTTGGTACAATTAGAATCAAAATTTCTTTCACAGCAGATGCTGTTTGTTCTAAGTAAAATAGAATGCAAATTCATTTTGGAGTGTTAAAGCAAGAGATGTAACTATTGTCGCACATTTTACCACTTAATGCATATTAAAATGATATGTGCTAAGATTTTAGAAACAGGTTTAAGGAAGAATATTGTAAATACAATTAATGAAATTGTCTCTCTTATATGAAAGCAAGTATCAATGCCAGTTTGTGGAATTAGGAAGGGAGAATTTTTTTTCTATGAATGTTAATTAATTTACTAGAAAAAATACCACCGATTTACTGAATTTTTCCCTGAAAAATCAAAGGAAAGTGAATGCTTCAATAATATTTAACTGCCAAAAACTGAAAATACTAATGTGTTTTTATTTTTTCTAACTGATACTGTTCAGTATTTGAAGGATTTTAACGTAAAACTTCAAGAATAGGATAAACTTATTTATGACCTACCTACACATATTTTGGAATTCCCATGAACATTTTTTTGTACTACAAATTTGTTGTAATAATCTGTATACTTTTCCACTGTGACAGATATGTATCCTGCTTATCAAGATTAAACAGTATTGAGAGAAATAAAATTACACTGTTATTTATTTTAAATTTTTATAAATATTTTGTACAGAAGTATTTGATGTAAATTATAATGCAGTACAAAGTCTGTAATCCGGACTCGTGTGACTTCAGGGATTCCGGATTAGGGGTTTTTCCGGATTATAAATCATCAATTTAAATCTGGTGCGATGGTATGCCAAAATTATACATTTAAAAATATGAAACCATAATTTTTGAAATAAAGAACAATTGTGATCTAAAGGGTATCAAAATTTGAAAAAAAAAAAAAAAAAAAGCTTAATATTTATTTGTTTACTTTATTAAGCATTTTTTTCAATGTAAGTTGTTTAAGTTGCTTCATTTTTTATGCTAATACTTTCTCTTTAATTCTATAAACAGACATAATTTCTTGTTGAGTTACTAAGTTCCACTGTTCAAGTCATGTAATTGCTGTGTCGAGAATCGAGAATACCGACTAAATTTGTCAATCGAAATGTTTTCGTTTTCAATAACCTCTCTGCCACTTACTTCACTATCGGAAGCGCGCATGCGTGTATTGGAAAGCATGCGCGTTTCAAAGAACGTTTGTGGCTTTGAGGTCCAGATTATAGATCATTCCGGATAATGGGCATCCAGATTGAGGACTTTGTACTGTATTTCTGAATGATTTTGGAATTTTAAAATGATGGAAAATTTATCTTCCCTGTTTTGCAACAAATTTTTCTTTAATATGATGTATATAGTATATGATATCTTTAATGTGACCTTTCACAAAATTGCAAACCCCACATTTTTATTTCATAGAACTCATCAAATAGTTGATTAATTCTTGTGAGTATGCATAGCCTTCTTCTGCACTTTTCAAATCCTGAAGAGTCTGGGAAGGCATTTAGTATGCTGCAGTTATGTAGCCTAAGGCATTCCTCACATGCTCATAAAAATTTAAAGCTGTATTTGAGTTTATGCAGTATATCTTTGAAGTGATTAGCATAAAGAGAAAGATGAATATATATTACAAATATCTATGCAGTTATTAAAAATTAAAGTTATTTTATGGTTTGAATTTTCACAAACAGAGATGTGTAGCAATTAGGAATTCAACACCATATTTCAAAGAATTAGTCAATTGCAAAATGTTACAAACATCCCATTAATGTTTATTAATGGCAGTAATTTTGAAATATTTTATATTAATTATATTCTGACAGTCACATCACAACTAGTCCACAAAATTTTTCATGATGAGAAGCACAGGATTTCTTTTGTCACTGGCACAGGCCTTGAGCACATTATAGGTGACCATATAGCTTTGCCAAATTCCATCCCAGTTTTAAAGGAAAATCTGTGGTGGAACAGGTCTAAGGGTCACCCACCTCTCCTCTCTTACCATCACTTGAGAGGACTTTCGACCATTTGAGAGGACTTTCAACTCTGGAAGTTGAACCTGGACTTAAGGATTTGCTGGCAGCAGTACTAATTGCTTTACCAATCAGGACAGCTGCCATAATAATACCTATGTTTACAGTAATAAAACATGTGTAATAAAATATCATTGTTAAAATATTTCATTTTCTTCTACATTTGTCTACATTTTCTATGGGGTTGTTAGAAAACTTGATTCTTTATAAGAGGCTACCATAGTATTTCCTTTCAACAAAATTGTTTTATATAAATTTGAAACTATAAAAGGTCATCTAATAAATCAATATGCACACACTCATAATTAGGATATCATAATTATTAGGTTTATAAGTTTATAAGTTGTGCATCTTTTATGTTGCTACTTAAGGCTTACATTATCAATGCTTACTTATTCATAAAAAGCTAAGTCGGGAAATATATTATATTTACAAAACTTAATAAATACTTTAAACGAAGTATTAAAAATGTTTTAAAGAATGTGTTTTAAATACTGAATTACACAGAATAAAATACAAGTGACCTTTCAGCTTGGATTTAAAGCTGTGAATTCCCACTTTTAAAAATAAACTTATAAATTTTGATTCCACTGAATTTTTTAATTACTAATAGACTGCTGCTCACTGAAAGCCATATTAAAAGTGCAGAAACAGTTGATTAATGCAGATTTCTCATTGAAAGTCATGAGAAAAATTTACATTTACAGTTGTGTAGTATATTTATGGGCACTTAAATTTGTATTCTCTGCTTGCAAGATGAATTGCTAGTGTACCAGGGCCCACATGAGTATTATCATATACAGAATACTTTTATTATGTATATTAGTAAATTGAGCTTCAAAAATTAAAAGTTTATGGAATGGTTTTCTGTATTCAATAAACTATAAAATAGACCAACTGGTACATGTTTATGCCTTTTTGGAAGTCTTGTTATTTTCTTAATTTTTTTTTTAACTTGTAAGCTTCTTGATTGGTCTGCAAATTTCTGAAATTGTTGCAAATCTCTAGAATATTAAAAGAATTCAGATATAAATGGAGCCACATAAATCTGCTTTATTCAAATATCTCAATTATATTTGCTTTCAGAAGGATTACTTTCTTTTCATAATAATTTCTGATTGTTATTATTTTTATTTTTTCTTTCTTTTTAGATGGTTTTCATTCCTGGATGTGGAGAGGATTAAAGTTTTTGCTTCCATTTTTAATCATTGGTTATGTAAGTAGCATATATTTTTAATATAAGCATAAGATAATATTAGTGGCAAAAATTTATTAACAGTTGGATCATTTCATTTGTTTATACTCCTAGAATAAAAATTATTTTCTTCCTCTTAATATTAAATTTCTTAAGTTGTTAGAAATTATATATTGCATTCCATATCTTAATCATAAAATTAACTCAGTGTTTATTATGTGAAACAGTTGCCACCGCAGAAGACATTCACTAAATGTTATTTAGTCACCCCAGATGTGACACTTGATAAATACTCTATATGCATGAATTTAGTGGTTTTACCCATGTGTGACTTCAATATGAGCCAATGCCTGTAAGAAAAATCTTCCATAAAGGTGTCTCTTTTTTGGGAAGAGTGTTATGTTTAATAAACTTAAATTTAGAAGAACAGATCTGAGCATTATGGGATAGTGCTACAAATCTCTCTAAAGATGTTTTAAAACTTTCTGTTTATATGTTTGCATATATAATCTTCAACTACTTTTTAGTTCTCTGAAAATTTCTTCATATCTCCAATCAGGTTTGCATTGTGGTAGTAGAGAAATAAATTATGTTATATAGTTGTGTTGCCACTTTTTTCCACTGTTAATCAAATAGCTTGTGTTTATGTAATGAATTATGCTCCCTAAAACACATAGTTTATCTTTTCTGCTGTATAGTGTATTATTTCCATAATGTGCAACATATGTTTGTAAATATTGCAGCATCATTAAAAAAATCATCAGTTTTGAATGGAATTATACCACACATTAGTAATAATAATGCAGCTCAATGGCATAAAATTGGTATTTTGTGATGCTGCCAACAGTAGAAGTAAGAAATTTTTATATGCTGTGGCATTGAATCAGGGAGGTCTGTATGTATTGTATGTACAGGGTGGTCATGAAAGAAAAAAAGGAAACTTCCCCAATACATGAACCCCTAGCAGCCTATCTGCTCAACCAACCAAATGAAATTTCAGATATTGTTATTTGAAAGTATGCACTCTGGATTGTAATGATTTAAAACAATAGAGTTCTTTCATTTATGGTTACAGTGGAAAAATTTTAAAATTTCTGAATGGCGACAATCACTTATTTTCTTGCACAAACCGATCAGCACATTGAAAGACCATAAATTATTTTGGAACGATACATGTATGATGAAAATTGCTGGCATAAAAGATTTGCAAAGAAGAGCATCATAGAGAACCAGTGGCAACACAAAAGAGGAGAGGGAAATAAACTTTAATTGGCATTATAGGTTTACAATGTGCCCTTCTTTTCAGATGATGATGCATTGCATGCAAGAGATTGTTGGCAACAATGATGAACATAACATCGCTGAGAGAATGTGCTGTTGCAGCACTTGCTGAATATATGTGGCATTGTGGGGAGCAGCACCATCCTGCATTCTTACAATGACATTAACTACATTTCACTGCTGCAATAATGGATGCCACACCATGATGATTTTTTTCAGCCCAGTGAATGCATTTCTTGGAGTCTACATTTGCAGTTAAGGAGAAATACACCTCATCCATCCGTACTATCCACAGTGGCCACCCACTATCTTCATCATATTCGATGAGAAAAAATTTTCCAAAGTTGAACCATTGTTGCTTGTCTCCAGGTTGCACCATCTGGATAAGCTGGAATCTACAAGAAAACATCCACAGACCAGAATGCGGAAACTTGAAAACTGTGGTTTTTCAGTGCATCCAAACTGCGATCAGCACTTCTTGTAGTATGCAATGGGCCTGCAAAAATTGAATTATCTGTAAGTATCTGAAATGAATTATCTGAAGTAATTGAATCATGTATTTATGCAACAACTTCAACAGGAATGCATTGTTGTCCGAATCATGGTCTATCACATGTGAATCTGGTTTCTTCAGTCTTTTTTACCAAATCACTACAGTGTTTATGGGCTCATCTTCGCTTATAACTTAACCAATAAACTTACACTGCTGTGGCAGCATTTTCCCGTGTTCAGATAAAACAGCTTTATTAGTTCACCTCATTTCCCTGTGTCATCTTATTAGCATGTTCAAACACTTGATTCAAGCATAATCTTTCCACACTGCTTTTAAAGGTTTTCTACAAGCAATACTTTACACATGGTGTTTTGTGACTGATGCTTTTTCTCCCTGTCTTTGTGAATTATGCAAAGTGCGCCAGTGCACCTCCTCTCTGTGTTGTCATTGGTCCTTTGCAATCTTTTTCTTTTCAAATATTTTACAACATTTACATTAATGACAGCATGAGTTAATTACTCAATTTTCATCATACTTGTGTCATTCCAGTGCCATTTATACCTTTTCATTGTGCTGATCAATTCGTGGGAAAAAAAAAGTTTTTGCCATTCAAAAATCTCAAAATGTTTTCACTGTAAGCATAACTATGAGAGCTGTATTGTCTTAAATCATCACAATCTCAAGCACAAACTTTCAAATAACATTTTCTGAAATGTTCTCAATCAATTTGAGGTTCATATATCAGAGAAGTTATTTTATGGCAACCCTGTATATAGGCCTGTGTTATTGCCTGACAGGCTACTTTGGTTGAAGTCCACGCTTAATTGGCACTGATTGCTGGAGAAAGGTTATGGGCCAAAATGCCATATCCTATGCTTTTTCCACTTAGACAGTGAATGCGTAGACTGGAGAAGAAACAGTATTATCTGTTCTGTTGTGAAAGAGACTGGTATTCCATAGGTAACCATGTGGTTGGATGTATTCTTGCTGAAATATAGTCAAAGAATGTACTGAATGAAAGGTATAACCTCAGCTGCTACAACTTCCCTGATACAATGATTGCTGTTGAGAATATCTACATCTCTTAGCAGCCAGAATTTCTAATTGTGTCTTACATAGTCATTTGTTATTATGTTATTCAGCCTGTATAATGCTCTAAAATGCTTGCTGGAAGATAGCATGCATTGCAGTATTATCTAATGTATGTATGTCCATTATTGTATTAAAATGGGTATTTAAAATGGGATTTATAAAAAAAGATGACTAATTTCTAATCTGCATGTTATATATATTCGTCTATTTATTGTAGCCTGAAAGCATTAAGTGTTGACAGTCTAGAGAAACCTCTATGAAAGAATGCAGTTTCTTTTGAATCGTGTAAAGTAGACAGTAGCATACCTTAAAAATGATGAGAATAAGCAGCATTGTTTTTTACTGTCTTGCAGATAAGATATCACCACCCTGGAGTATTTTCACATTTCATACTCCACTGACAGAATTCTAACTTGTCCAGCTGTTTCAGCCCTCTTCTTCCATATCTATATCACTATTAGGGCCTTATGTCACCATATATGAGTACAAGTGTCACAGAACAAAAATCCTCCAGCATGCAGACAGATAACTGGTCTTGATTTAATTCTGTAGTTTGTTTATATATTCTCCTTTCACATCAAAGAGATTGACCAATTTTCTTGTACTTTGAAGTCTAGCTGCCTTTTACATTGAAGCCATAAGAATATTTTGTCTTACATCTACATGATTTTAAATGTAATTTATGAAATGACAGATTTAAACACTTCTATAGTTCTTTTCATCTATAGTTCCTTTCTTCTCTTAGAATTGTTCTGGTAATGATACCAGGCTTTCAAATCCCATTCAAGAATTTTTTCTAAAAACTCTTGTTATTAAAATGGTGTTTCAGTATATACTTGAAAAATCTTATTTCTTTTTCTTTAGCCCCCCTTTTTTTGGGGGGGCTGAGTGTGGACTTCTTCATGTGAATTCATTCATGAAATGTCTTTAGTTGTGATATATGACTTGTTTCACTAGTGTTGAAAACATAGTGTTAATAATTTGAAACATTCTGATATTCTGTACCATTTCTTCTGAGTATTGTGAATCTTTCCTTAATCTATAGGTAACTCAAAAATTCTGAAGCTAATCATCAAGTATATATATTTGCTTAGATGTATATTTACTGATGTTTTTTATGAAACTGCAACACACTATAATCCTAAATGCCTTTCTGTGTATAAAATATATGCATTTATTGCATTATAATGCAATTTTATATAAAATTATTCGTATAAAATTGTAATATTTTATTTTTAATCCTTACGTGAGTCTTGGGAAGATTACTTCCTTCCTACATGATCTTACAAAATACACCTGTGGGAAGCTCAAAGCCCACTATAATATATTGGCCATGCTATTATAACATCGGGAACACTAATTTCCACTTTAGTTTTGTGCTGCCGTCTGTGTTCGATCAATTGAAACAGATTTAGCACATTTGTTTTGAAAGTTCAAAAACACTGTGCGAGATCTGTTCTGGCACCTGTTTTGATATGACATTTGTACTGCTCAATAAATTTGTACTGCAAATGTGAGTAAAACACTTTTTATTGTAATAATACTTTCTTATTTTGTATATTTCTGCACATTTTGTGCCAGCAACTATTCAATAATGAATAATAAATAATGAGTGAAATGTGAAAGTGCTATTGCAGATGAGATGGCATCCCCGCAAAGCAGCTTTAGGGTTCCCCACAAAGCAGCCATAAAATGGCAAGAAAAGGCAGGGCTGCCACATTTGGCGAGAAATCGCACATTTGGCGACAACATTGGCGATATACCCAAGACGGTTGGAGAACCTTCTGGAACGAATTCTTACCGGTTTAGTCTAGAATGTTCCCGAACACAAGCCGAAAGCTATATAAATCCTGCTGGTCCGCAGTCAGTAAGTGTGCTTCATCAAAGGGTGTCTCTCATCGAGAGTGTGTGTGCCTCGTCTAGCGAGTCGATCGATTTGACAGCCGGGCAGCAAGTGCCGTGTGGGTCGTCGAGTCCACTGAAGGAGTCTGTTAGTGTATCGCGGTTAGTGCATTGTCGAGAGAGCGTGTTGAGCTCCGGGAAGACTGAACCAAAGAGTCAGGAGCTGTGCTCGTGTGTCGTCGAGTGCATCGCGTGGAGAGCCTCAAGAGTACGTGGAGTTCTGAGAACGACCAAGCAGAGTCGGGAGCTGTACTCCTGAAAGCAGAGTCGGGTGCTTTGCAGGAAGCTGTCTCCACCGTGACAGCCTGATAACCTGAAGGCTGTGTCGCTGATCGTGTCAGCATGTTTATAGTAGTTCATCGACGACTGTAAAATGTGTTATTGGAGGCTGTCCTAATTAATACTGGCCAATAAAGTGTGTTTCAATACTTCATCAAGTGTCGTCGTTATTCACTCCAAATCCACATGAACCCTGCAAGAACATGAAGGAAGAAAATAATGTACCAACTGCTATCAGAAGAATAGGAAAATGCAACAACTGGTGTCAGAAGTGGGATTTGCGAGTGAATGCCAGTGACCCGCCTGCAGAGGAAAGCCATGGCGGAGGAAATGAAGACTTTGATGGACTTCTTAGCCAAGATAAAGGAAGAGATGAAAGCCGAAATGAAAGAGGTGAAATCTGGGACAGGAAGAGATGACAGCTGGACAGGAGGAGATAAAGGCTGAAATCAAAGCCGCACTGAAAGAGATGAAAGCCGGACTGGAAGAGAAGAAAGCCTGGCAAGAAGAAATAGATGTCGGTGAAGAAAAAGTAAGAGAGCAAATCCAACAGGTGAAAGTGGAGTTTACAGAAGAAACTGGAGCCATAAAAGACAATGTGGAAATGAGAGAAGTGGCATCTGAAGAATCAAAGGATGAAGGAAGTAGCTAATGAACTGCCTCAGAAAGATCAAGAAATGATGGATGAAACATCTAACAGGATTAAAGGAAAACAACGAAGGGAAAGAAGCTTTTGATTCACAAGTGCCTGAAGTGGAAGAAAGTGACAATGCAACTATTAAGTTTGTCAAAACTGATAGTGAAATTACGAAGTCGCAGGCAGTAAGTGTTGAACCAATCTGAATGTGCATGGGATGCAGAGATGGAAGGTGCTGAAATGCAGCTTAAGCAGTGCGCTCCAGTATTGCAAGAAAATCCACCCACTTCACAAACTGGGTGTGTGCTTCATAGTGCAGGTTTTGTAGACAAGGACTTGATTCCAAATCTGGATATTTCTGCTTGTAAAGGATCGGATTCTATTCATGAACCTGGTGAAAACATCGGTACTGGTTTTCAGAAAATAGAGGTAAATAAGCATGTACCATCTGCTAATGATACCGAGGTGAACTATACGCATGCTGCAAATGATCTACATAGTGGTGTATGAATTGTTTTAGATTTTTCTGTGGATGAAAAGCCTGAAGGAACTGAATCTTCAGACTGTGATATGCAAAACATCAATGTGTCTGAGAACTGCAGTGGAAAAGTATTTAACCCGGGTATATTTCAGTGAATAGACAGAGACTGAAATTAGACTTTAATTTGATATTAGATTTTAGATTTAATTAGACATTAGATTTAATTTTAGATTTTAATTGAGACTTTAATTTGTATAATTTAAAATTGTTATGTGTTTAATTTGTGTATATGACTTGTACATACTGTAAATATCTGTTTCTTTAGTTATGTTATTTATTTATATCTTATGTTTGTTTCAAAACGATTTGATTATATCGAATTAGGCTTCTGACTAAGGCTTGTACTGCCCGGGATGTGCAGTCCTTGGGAGGGGGCAGTGTTACGAAATGTAAAGGCGCGGTGGCTTCCCCACAAAGCAGTTTTAGGGTTGCCATAAAATGTCCATGAAAGGCAGGGTTGTCACATTTGGCGACAAATCGCCCATTTGACAACATTTGGCGACAAAATTGGTGATATACCATGGTCTGTTGGAGAACCTTCTGGAACGAATTCTTACCGGTTTAGTCCAGAATGTTTCCGAACACAAGCCGAAAGCTATATAAACCGTGCTGGTCCGCAGTCAGTAAGTGTGCTTCATCAAAGGGTGTCTCTCATCGAGAGTGTGTGTGCCTCGTCTAGCGAGTCAATCCCTGCGGAGTCGATCGAGTTGACAGCCGGGCAGCGAGTGCCGAGTGGGTCGTCGAGTCCACTGAAAGAGTCTGTTAGTGTATCACGGTTAGTGCATCGTCGAGAGAGCGTGTTGAGCTCTGAGAAAGACAACCAAAGAGTCAGGAGCTGTGCTCATGTGTCGTCGAGTGCATTGCGAGTACATTGCGTGGAGAGCCTCGAGAGTATGTGGAGTTCCGAGAACGACCAAGCAGAGTCGGGAGCTGTACTCCGGAAAGCAGAGTCGGGTGCTTTGCACTAAGCTGTCTCCACTGTGACAGCCTGATAACCTGAAGGCTGTGTTGCTGATCATGTCAGCGTTCTTATATTAGTTCATCGAGGACTGTAAAACATATTATTGGAGGCTGTCCTGATTAATACCAGCCGATAAAGTGTGTTTCAATACTTCATCAAGTGTTGTTGTTATTCACTCCAAATCTACATAAACCCCGCAAGAACGGGAAGGAAGAAAATAACGTAACAACTGGTGTCAGAAGAATAGGAAAAATGCAACAATATGTAAAAGCCATATGCTTTTATTATGCTTTTATATATGATGCAATAGTATATGTATATTTGAAAAATTAGAACATTTAATTAAAAATAATATATTTACATAGTAAATAAAAAATTAGTTTTTATTGTAATTATATTTACGTCTTTCTAACATTTTTGTACATTTTGTGCCAGTAACTGTCCAATTTGAATAATAATTATTAGGCATAACAGTGAAATGTGAAAATGCTATTCTGTCAAAAAGTCACATTCACTTTCTGCCTATGAAAAATTATAATATTTAGTTTCAAAAATAATATATTTATATAATAAATATCGAAAAGATTCTTATTATTGTATCAATATTACTTACATTTTTGCATGTTTAGTACCAGTAACTGTCCAGTAGTGAATGCTAAGTATATGACTAGCTGTAGACCCCGATTTAGGCAAAGTAGGCAACTGCTAGTGGCAGCACTTTTTTGGGGAGGAGGCAAATTTTTGAAAATGAAGTAATTTGAATGATTGTAGTGCAAAAAAATATGTATTTTAAAGGAGCTTCTGTTTGAGAGGTTGGCAAATTTAACACTCATAAATATCTTATCACTTTTAAATGAGCAAGAAGTGTTTGCCCACATCAGCTGCTTTGGATATTCTGTTTTAACTTCCTGGTGACCCAGGTGATACTGAAATATTTTCAGAATTACAATTGCTAAAAAATTCAGATAACCCTATCACAAGTTTTGAAAATAACTTTTTAAAAACCAAAAAACTCTCTTCTGCTGATAGAGCATTGCTGGCTCAACTCCACAAGGTCGGACCAACCCTGTCACAACATAATGATTCCATAAAGCGTATGCACCTTCATGTGCCAATGAAGCTCATAAAAAGAAGGTATAAGGTGTGTTGTTTATCAGATTCCAAAAGTGGATATATTCAGGAACTTGAAATTTATTGTGAAAATGAAACTTCTGATATAAAGCTAAAAAACTGAATTTAGGAGAAACAGTAGTTACCAAACTAATGGTAGATGTGAAACACACAGGTCGCCATATAGCCCATGATGACTATTTCACATCTTTTAGGCTTGCAAAAAATCTACTTTTAAGTGGACAGTTTTCTGTGGGGATTGTGAGGCTGTAAAAGAAGGATTTTCCACCAATGCTGAAAGCTAATGACAAACTATAATGAGATGAATCAATGTTCCTGACTAAGGAAGGTCTTGCTGTAAAAAAAATAAATGGACAATAAGGCTATTATGTTGTTGACTACTGCACATAATCCAGCAGTTATGACATCTGTAAATCATTCAAAAAAAGAGATGGTACTAAAGCAAAAGTACCTTGCTCAAAAGCTGTTGCTGTGTATAACAATATCATGGGAGGGGTTGACCACTTTGACCAGAGAAGTGAAAGATGCCAAATAGAAAGATATGTAAAATGGTGGCATCATATTTTTTTTTTTTTTTATTTTTTATTTTAGTATGGACCCTGGCATCATAAATAGTTTTATACTGTGGCAAGTGAGCAAAAGAAACACAAATTTAGACCAGCTAACACTCCGTATCACATTAGCTCATTACCTAATTGATGGATATTCCTCAATAAAAAGAAAAGGTTGACCTGCTAGCTTCCAAACAAAGAATTATGCTATTCTGGATGATGTGTACTTAGTCAATGTGGGAAATCATATGCCAAAAATGGTTTCTGATTATAGCCAACGTATGAAATGTAGAACAAAGGCCCAAGCAAAGGGGACACAATACATGTGTGCAGAATGTGATGTGCTGTTGTGCATTGCAACATTCTTCTCATCTTTCCATGGCAAATGATCACCATTAAATTGAATTTTCTCTACAGCCGTAAATGTTTCATGAAAAGTAAACTTTCCACCACTAGAATTTAAATGTAAACATGAAATTCGGCAAAATTTCGTAAATGCTATTGATAATTGATAATAAAACAAAACAAAAAAAAAAAAAAACCTGGAGGAATTCAAAAGAGAAATAAATGGCCCACGAAAATGTTATATAGTTTTTCCTTATTTATTTATTTATTTAATGTTTATCTTTAAGAGTCTAAAATTCATGAAAGATGCATAAAATGTTGATAGCTGTTGCATTTATTTATATCTTGCAACTTTGTTTTAGTGCTGGCAGCTATTTAATGCATACACTTTGTACAAAATAAGTTTGGAGTTAGGAAGGGCAGAATGGCAGGTAAGATATTAATATTTTGCAACATACTGTTATTAATTCTTTACCAGTTGCTAATTAATAGGAGTTGTTAGGTTTATTAAAAATTCTAAAGTATTTTGTTAATTTAATTTATGCTGTAATATGAAAGTTCGTCTTTTGAAATTATAACTTCCAATTATTCTCTACTGTTTCTTTTTTAATTATTGTTTGCTTTAACATTTATTTTGATAATATTTGCATAATTGTATGGAAAATTTATTACTTGTAACAGTTGTTTGTTAAACATAAAATATTTTATAGAATCACATTATACTTTAAAAATATGTAGCATTTTCATACTCAATATAATTTGGGCTGAGGAGATGGTAAGTTACTGAATATGATTAATTTTACAGAATCCTTGGTGGACTTGTCATTAAAATTTGCTATAAACTGTTTTATCAAAATTATAAATGTCTGCTACAGAACCATTTGTTAAACTTCTTTAATATATAAATAAATTTAAAAAATAAGTAAAAAATAAGTGTAATTAAAAAAATTATTATTATGCTGCAAAGGAAAGATATATAAAATTATATACTTACAGGCAACATAACCATACCTTTTTGAATAAAATCCTAGTGATTTTCATTGTTTTCTTCATTGATTCCTTCTTTATGCTGCTTCATCATGTGATAAAGGAATAAATTAAGAAAATTAGAAACACTTTAGTACTCAAAATGGTGCAGCATTTCCTCATTAGCCTCCAGTCTTTCCATGTGAATCATCATCTGAATTTTCCAATCATCTTTCACTTCTTCAGCTTTTATTTCTCTCACTGCAGAAACTTCTCTATCTTCTAGAATGGATCATTCTCATGTTGCATCATCCATTCGTCAACATGATCACACCTTGGAACCTTCTTCATTAAGCTAGTCTTAAATTTTTTGTATCTCCTGAATTTTCTTTGAACTCATTTTCTTAACTGTTAAGTAACATTTTGTAAGAACAGATGCAGCTTATAAGCTGAATCTAAAAATTCAATTTTCTTTTACTTTTTTTTTTATCATATCTTACTTTATCTTCATTTATAAGATTAGTGATGGAAGAAGTTTGAATGTTTTATCCAGTGCTACAAGAATGCCCTGCACAAATGTTTGGTACTGCAGTTACCGTTGGAAGGAGAAAAATGGCTTTTATGTATCTCTTCATTAAAATTTGCATATCGAATCTTCAGTCACTGAATCTTCGCAGCCGTAAAGGTCAACGCGACACATGCGCAGAAAGCTTGTAGCTTTGAAGTCCAGATTATAGATCATTCCGGATTATGGGTGTCTGAATTAACAACTTTTGACTGTATATATATATATAAAGAAACATAATAATAGGCTAAAAATTAAAAGCAAAATTTTTAAAACCATCCTGCACTATAGCTGCAGGTTTGAAGTAAAATAGATTTAAAGTTAATATTAAATTAGAATCCTCAACAATATTAAAAGCAAGGCAATTCCTCAACAGTATTAGTAATTGCAACTATGTTTAAGAGGTTTTGTGCAATATCTAGACAAATTAAAATAAGAATTCATATCAGAATAAACTCGAAAAATAATAATGCGGAAACTATACAAATTTAAAAATTAATCTCCTTTTACTGAAACTCCAATTCAGAATTCATCAGGAGAAAGTTCGTTTGAGATTCGATTTTTCAGTTTTATATGAAGTCTAATGCCTTAAATGAAAATTTAATTGAACTTTTTTCAATTTTTGATTCTCAAATGAGCCAGGAAAATGAAACATGTTTTTCAAACATATTAATTGACTTTTGTGAAGCTTTAATTCATTTTCCCGTGATGAATTCTGAATTGGAGTTTCAATAAAAAGAGATTAATTTTTAAATTTGTATATTTTCCCTTTCGCATTATTATTTTTCGAGTTTATTTTAATATGAATTCTTATTTTAATTTGTTTAGATGTTGTGTAAAACCTCTTATACACGGTTGCAATTATTAATATTGTTGAGGAATTGTCTTGCTTTGATTCCAATTTAATATTAACTTAATATGCTTTAAGTGTGTCTATATATATATATTCAGCCATTTTCATGCTCTTTTTATTCCTTTAAAGTTTATTGCAAGCATGTTTCACATATCACCATTCAATTTATGACCTCTTCTTTTTATTGCCTACAACTTTCCATCTAATACTTAACCTTTTCCCGTGGGCTCGAAAAACAGTTGTGTACCTTCACTGGGGGCTCTTGGCTCAGCGGTTATAGAAAGGGGGTAAAAATTATCGAATCGAGTCCTTAACGAGTGGGTGATTAGTGCTCTTTTGTCGGCAGGCAGGCAAATGCTCAGGATTTCCTTTCAATCTAGTTCCAACGTTCAAGGCGTTAGAATGTGGGATGTACTCTAATCACTTTCACACTGCAGGTAGATGAATACAGTTTTTCCAAGGAAAAAAAAAGTATTATTTTACCTTCAAATGAAATGTATGCTATAACTAGAAATTTTGTTCTAAAAAGTGTTCCATTTTATGATTAAAATAGTTTTTGTAACTTGCGCCTATATTATGTACTAAAAAACTAGCGAAGTAATCAGTGTTAAATATATTCACTTGTCATTGTATCAAAAAATCAGTGATTTAATATATTCAAACATTTCCTTCAAACAATATATGCATTTTCATTTTTAATAGTATTATTATTCTGATGTTGAAGAGCAAATTAAATAGAGTTTATTTATTGCAAATGCCATTTAAAAAGCATTTTCGGATTCCAAAATGAGTGTTAATACTTTTACACCTCTGGTAATATTCATTCCTGGAGAAATAGAATTTGCTCACTGCATTTGTACTGCACTAAATTATATTGAACAATGCCAGCACTAAAAAAAAAATTACAATGCATGAGCCAAGAATTTTTTTTATTTATTTCCATGTGGCATTAAAAATAGGGGTCCCAGAGTTATCTGCCTTTACATCAGGGATATAAGATGTTTAATTTATTTAATCGCTTCATAGTTTTTGGTTCAAGAAAGAAATGCAGATGCAAACCCTGGAGCTTTAGAAGATAAAATCTTTGTTGAGTTTTAATGTATTCAAAAATTTAGTTTTATCACTTAGAGATATAAGATGCTACTTTTACCTTATAATAGAAAGGGAACAGTTGTTCGATGATTTATATTGCTACTCCATTTTTTCTTTGAATGCAAAATTGCACATACAGGAATGCATTGAAATTTCAAAATGTAAGCATCTTTGTCGAATGGCGAAATATTTCTTCAGTTTTTTATGATCTACATTTCCAGAATGCTAAAATCGCCTTTGAGGTATCAAACTGTTATGTGAAATTTTCAGATCTCAAGCTATTTACTGTTGCTTTCTATGGAAGTAATGAAGCTCGGAATGAAGATTCGCACTGAGGATTAAATTCAGGGAACTAAAAAGTAGTACACATCTGAATCCCTGTATACATGCTTAGCATTCCAGTATCTTGTTTGATTCCCTCCAAAACACGATTCTCTTGTAACATTAATTACTTTCTGAACACTACAAGTTACTGAGAGGTTAAGGCCATTGAATTCTGGTAGTTAGACATAGGTTCGACGTTAGGCGGTCGAGCTGGCCGCATGGTTGGTTTTCGTTGTTTCCCTCATGTGAAACGTGAATACGAGCCAATTTCTCCTGAAAGTTCTCCACGAAGGCATGCTTTCCTTTAGGTAGGCAGCCTTCGTGTGCTTTCCCATATTCAATTAACCTAAACTAATGTATCTAATTTCTGAACAAATTGATACAGACATGACATTTTAGACGCAAATAATATAACAAAAGATAAATTAATAAGTTTGAAACTTTTTTTAATTTTGAATTAGAAAATGTTCCATAATAACTACTTTAATAAAAATTCGTATTTCATTTGTCGCACAATTAAAATTCATTTTGTCATTAAAATGATTCATAAAAGGAAGGGTTTCCAAACATAGTTATGAAACGCTCATAAGTTTAGCTTTCTTATTTCGAATATCATTTTATTTTTATTTGTCGAATTAAATAAAGTGTTATCTACCTAAGCAAAAGGGGCTTTCGTGGAGGGTGTTCAAAGGAAATTGGCTGATATACCCTTTATATATGTGAGAGAACAAGAAACGTTCATGCAGTCAATCCATTCATCAGAATTTGAATCGAGGTCAAATTATCAGAGTTAAAGAAATATTATTCACTCGGCCGCTAGTTATCATTTAGAACATAACAAACCAAAATTTCACTCAAGTAAGTGGTAGTCATGGAATGCATATCATTTAGAAATAACATTAAAATTAATTTTCATTACCTGAAACTTTTATATTACTACACTGCCTTATACTAAAAATTGGAATAAAGTGATAAAAACACTTATGAAAAGAATGAAACGAAGACAGTTTCAAATTCGAATTGAAACCAAATTTTAAAAAAATTAATTAGAAATAACTGAAAAAGTTATGCAATTTTAAATACATTCAAGGTTTTAAAATAATTTCCGAAGAATTTTAGCAGCCGAGCTTCCGAAAATAAAATTTCTTTGATATTTGACCTCCAAGCCGTATTTATAAAGGGAAAAACCTAAGAACGCAAGTGCGTGAGAATCGAAGTAACAAACTGTTCTTTTTATTTTCTCCTCTCAACAAAATACTTCCTGGAAGATACCGAATTTGCAAACGAGCCATGTGGGTTTAAAACACGAACAATTTTCCCCAATCCATTAGCGTAATCCCACAAAAGAGCGCACTCTCCCGTGTGTCATAAAATAGTCATCAAGCCTCAAGTGCTAAAATTCCTACCCCTGCTACCAACGGCAAACTGTCCCGAGCCCCCAGTTGCTGTATCCTCAGTACAGGACACTATGTCCCAGCCCCCGTGAAAAGGTTAAATCCATAATAATTTTTATTTATGTGTTTATCCAACTTTGAAATCATTAGATTCTATTTAATGCCTGATACCATTCGTTATATTATGTGCAATTTTATTTAAATGGTGTATGCAGTACTTGTAGTACCTTCTTCCTGAGTCACGTATCATCTTCTTCCCAGAGAAAAAGGAAATTTGTCTCATCACCTTTGAAATCAATATAATTTTATCCAAAACCTAATGCTATGTTGCTTTTGTTCCTGAAGAAGAAGAAGCTATGTCTGAGCACTCTCAAAATTGATAGTTTCATTCAAAGTGTACACCAGTCCTAAAGTTTTCTGCCTAATTTTAAACTTTTCATTGACATGTTTCTTCCAATTATATTGTATACAAATGTTTTTTTTTTTTTTTTTTTAGGCTGCTATGAATTCTGAAAGCTTTGGAAAAACATTTTGCCAGTTTCATACTTCTCGATGTTAGCTATCTCTCAAGCCTAATTATTTAATGATATCTTTCCCAATTAAAGTTCCAGAGTGTGATCAAAACTTTTTTTCCAGTCTATCACCTCTTCAGACTAACTTATACTGAAATAATACTCTTTGAAGATTCTTGATTCACAGATACTGCAATCTGAGGATGAAATTTCCAAGTTGTAAAGCAAGTGGTAAAAGATTTTCCATGTGAGACCTGAATCTATCATGTAGTGACCAATGCTTTTTTCTTGGAATTTTTATATAGTTCTAAGAAAAGCATGAAGCAACATTTCACATTAGCTTTTATGAAACTGATGTTTTGTGTGTTTATATTCTGTTCATTAACAATGACCTACTTTCATGTAAGGCGTCCTTAAACGTGAACTCACTCACAGAGGTGGAGAGAACAATATAAAGTATGCATGATAGAGGATGTAACACTCTTCTGTATTCACCCATATCACTTGATAAAGAACTACTCATACATCCCCACTTATGATTGTATAGGTAATTATAAAAATCATTGATGGTTTTTGAATGCAAGTTGCTGTTAATGTTGAGACATTTATTTGATGTTTTCTGCCCCTTTGTCTAGCATTGCAGTGCTTTATCTTACGTCTATTTAATTTCTGCAGTCTGAGTTCATATAGCTGTTGATTGCTGCTCTTAGTTAGATTTCTGGTAAGACAGACATAAGTTCATGTAGAGGTGTCCATTACTGCAATGCTTTTTTGTATGCTAACTTGATTTTTGGTAAAAAGATGTTAAAATAGGTTGAAATATATATATATATATATATTGAAATAATTTCAAAATGCCATACCTAAAAGAGAAATTTTTTCTTATTGCTTGGAATAATACCAGTAATTCCTTTTTTAAAATTTATTTGTTGCACTCAAGCTGGTAACTCAAGCATTCCATTAATTAAAAAAGCTTTCTTTGCATCCTGAGATCTGCATTAAGCAAGTCATGCATGCCTATTATGTTTTCATTTAATTGTATCAGTTTTTTTTTTTTTTTTTTTTTTTTTTAAATAAAGCTGTGTTCTATTTTGGCGTCCACTAAATTTATTTCTATTTATTTAGGTTTAGAATGTTTTAAGTAATATTTTCTATTAAGCATACTGTTATTTAATTAATTTCAGTTTCTATTCAGTTAGCTTGACTTCAGTTCTGATGTTTTATTTTTAGGTATCTGCCTCAGCTCTTATGTTTTTTATTCTCTTTCTTGGGAATTCTTCTACCACTGCAATCGTTGTCCATCAGAAATTAAATTTAAAAGACTTAATTCTTCGCAAACTTCAGTGAAAATCTGAAAGCAGTAAGCCTTATTTTTTGTATTTGCGTATTATCTGTTGATGAAATGTTTAGAATTCAGTTTTTTAATCTATCACATTTTTATTCTTCTAAATTAGGAAATTTGTTTATTTAAAAATAATTATTATCTAAAGAAATACTTTAATTGTTCATTTGCAAATATAAAAACAGACTGTTTTCATTTATTTTTTCACATCAGTGATAAAAAATTTAACATTTTAAGATTATAAGAAATAATTATAAATTTTTGTACTGCATGATAAGAATGTTACATGTATTTATCATTAAAAATACTCAGTTTTAATAGTTTTTACTTAAAAATGAAAAGTAAGCCAATCACATTTATTATAGCTTGTAAAGTTTTAACTACTATTTCTAATTTGTTTACTTTTGGATAAAAATTAGGGCTGCTGAACTATTAAAAATGTTTTAAAATAACCAGAACTGTTTAAAGTTCTGGAAAAGTAAAAGTGTAGGACTTAGAAATTTACCATATGCAGCCATGTCAAAATATTATCGAAATACAATCTTGATTTTCTTAAATAACTCCCTGGGAAACCAGCATATATTTAAATTTAATATCTATTCCAAATTATTTATCTCCCTTTTTTAAATATATATATCAGTAAATCCAAACAAATCCAAGTTACTCAACAAAACTAATATCAATAATGTACGAATTTTTATTGCACTCTTTTCATTTTTAAGTATCTTAGTTTACAATAATTGTTGATAAGTCGCTTATAAAAAATATGAAGATTTGTAAAATTAAAGGTGATGGAAAACCTTATTAACTACTGTCAAAGGAATTTCTTAAATGCATATAAATATTTTATGTGTTGAAAATAAATAGTAAATTATGAATATGAAAGAATTTAGAGCTAATTTTGTTGACAAAATAAATTAATTTTGTGTTAATATTTTTACTTCTTTTATTATATATATTAATAATTTTTATAAGGATGTTCTTTTCTCTATTAAAGATAGCTTTAGCCAATGGTACATAATTTAGCTGAAATATCTTGTTATGCTTTAAATGCATTCAGTTTCTTAATCTGGTAACAATTATTAAAAAAATGCTTATAAGATATGTGGAAAAGTTTTACTTCATTTACTGTAAAATTGTCTTAATGAACAAAAGAGTGGTGTAATTTTAAAAGATTATTTCTTATAAATTTATTTTTTATTGCACATTGGAATAATCCATACCATCAATAGTGGCAGTTGTCCAAGTTTCTCATGCATTATTACCAGTTTGCTTGTCTTGCTTACAGAGGGGCCAGGGGTACAGTTTACAAAACAGTTTTGTAGCAAGATAAGACACTGCATTTTAAAGCAGCTAGATCTTCAGTTATTGTACAGCAAGAATTTCATGTATGGCTTAAGAATGTAGTTGCATGGTTTTTCAAAAGTAGATGCATTTTGTGCAGTATCCAAAAAGAAAGCATGTTCTTTTCTTCCTTGAAGCTCTGGTGACTGTTGGCTGGTTTCTGTACCTGTAATAAGACTGGGTTTAATTTCTATCAAATACCAATTATGGTAGTTATAGTTTATAATGAATGGAATTTTCCTCCATTTAGACTAGAATATGCAAGTGCTTCTCAGATGTCTGCTTGCACAGCACTGGATTCGAAGTCAAAGCATATAGAGACAACAACCTTTTCTTTTTGCCGTCTCAGTTTAGTATATCTTACAATATGCAATTTTGATTTTGAAAGTTTATTGAAAATAACGTTTATTATCACCATTGCCTGTGTCTGTCCAGGAACTTTTATGATCGGGTACTGCAGACTGTGTAGACCATGGATGTCAAACTCATAGGTACACTTGGCCAAACAAACAAGCTTTGACTTTAGGCGGGCCGCAAAAAAAATCAATATTCATAGAAACGTAGATTTATTTCGAATAATACAATAATAAACATATATATATATTTATATAGAAAAGAACAAGAAAAATTTAATGTTTACGTCCTGATACTTGACATCTCTTCTCTGCTATTATCTTTCCTATTTCGGGAGAAATTTTGTTTGCAGTGATAACTTTCAACGCTGACCCAAGGTGAGCATCATTAATACGGTTTCTAATAGGAGACTTATTACCTTTCATGACTGAAAATAACTGCTCGCACCGATAAGTGCTACCAAACATGGAAATAATTTCATATGCGAATTTTCGAGTATTTTCAAACCTGGCTGGTAAATATTTGTAAAATTCAGGCACGCCCACTTCAATGAATTTTGCTTTCAAATTTGAGTTGCATTGAATCTCGATCACCTCCATTTGCATATGGCTGGGTACTGAGTCAATACTTATTGAGAAAATCGAAGAAAACAAAAAAAAAAAAATTTGTCTTCGAGGGAACTAAAATCATTAAACCTCGTTTCAAATTCAGTTGTTAAATTTGCAATTTTTTCTGCGTATTTTTGATACGAACAAGTATCATCTAAACTTGATTTGTTCATGCTGCACGTCGGGAAGTGCGTCAAATCTTCATTTTTAAGTTGTTTTTCCCAAAGAACTAGTTGACATTTGAATGCTTTAATTATGTCAAACATGTTCGTAATAATGATATGATCTTTTCCTTGTAACGATAAATTTAAATCGGTTAAGTGTTTGGTTATATCAACCAAGAAAGATAAATCTTGTATCCATATTGGATCGTAAAACAAACTTACGTCTTGATTTTTCGTTTTTAAAAACTGACTGACATATTTCTTCTTTCAAATCCCAGAATTGTTTGAGAATCTTGGAGCAAGATAACCAACGTACCTCGGTATATAGTAGGACAAACCCGAATATTCACTATCTAACTCACTTAAGAAAGCAGTGAATTGACGCTGATTTAAACCTCGAGATCTTATAAAATTTATAACTTTTTTTATATATGACAAAACATTCTCCATATTTATTACTTTCGTGCATAGAACTTCTTGATGTATAATACAATGCATATGATGAATGTTTGAACCGTGAATTTCACTAAGTTTTTTTCCTTAGTAATGCTACGAAGCCCTTGTTTTTCCCGGTCATTGATGGAGCGCCATCTGTAGCTACAGAATTTAATTTTGCCAAAGGTAGATTGTATTTCTGCAGAAGTCCAAAAACACAAGTAAATATATCTTCTCCTGTGGTAGTACCAGGCATCGGTATTAGTTCCAGTAATTCCTCAAAAATGTTAAAATTCTTGTCACAAGAACGAAGAAACACTGCTAATTGAGCTTTGCCACTAATGTCCGTGCTCTCGTCACAGGCAATGGAGAAACTTTCGAAACTAGATGATTTTGCTTTGATCTGATCACTTAAATTCGCGGCTAAATCAGTAACTCTTTCCGCAACTGTATTTCGAGACAATGAAATTGATTGAAAAGCCTTCACATTTCCAGGACAAACAATTTCTCCAGCTTTCATTAGGCATTCCTTGATGAAATCACCGTCAGTAAAAGGCTTCGAATGTTTAGCTATCAACTCGGACAAGACGTAGCTTGCATGTACCGCCGCTTCACTTTCTTGCAATACTTTACTAAACATGGACTGTTGCTTTTTCACTCCTAACTTGAGCTCTTTCAACTTTTCTTCTCTCATTAATCCTTCGTAATTGTTATATTTCGATTTGTGTTGTTCGTAATGACGTTTAATATTATATAACTTTGGTACATTAATAGTATTATTACATATCAAGCAGATTATTTTATCTTTTATTTCACAGCAAAAATATTCTAATTCCCATTTTACTTGGAATATTCTATGTTCGTCAGCGATTTTTCGTTTAATTTTACTACCACTTGGTTTTGATATAGACATACTGAATACAAAGGGCTGGAATAAACACGGTTAACGTTAAAAAGTTAACAAATTTTTTTTTCTTTCCACAAGAGATAAATCAAAATGCTGAAATATTTCTTCAAAAATATTCTAACAATATCACAAAATGTCAAACGTTTAGCAAAAATCAATTCAAAACAGAGAAACTAATTCTATCTCACAGCGAAATCGCTACAAATCAATCACAGCATTAAGTAAACAAACAGTTCGCTAGAACTACAGCTACTACTGAGATGAGTTGTTTGTTCTCGGCTTTTATAAGCTTTATAATTAATTTCTCGAATATACTGGAAACATCTATAAATATCTGGATTTTTGTGGATGGCAACAGCAATTACGAGATATTTATTTATTAGGTATTAAATGCACGCGCTGTTCTATTTTTAACCTTCCAACGCAGCTGTCTTTTCAAAAATCGTCTGCGTTGCTAAGGCAACATGAAGCAAATCTAATTACAATTCTAAATAAAAAAAAAAAAAACTAAATAAATAAATAACTATGAAATCCGTAACAATATGAATTAAGTAATAATTAATAATAAAGCAAAGTGCATGCACATGCATGCACCAATATATCGTACAAAACTATGATTGGAAAACTGAGACCATGAGTTCGGCCACATTCGGCTATCGGGGGATGCGTACAAGTTCTGAGTGCACGTGTCCCCCAAAAGCCGAAGGTAGCTGAACGCAAGCTACTCACACGCATTTGTAATTTAAGTAGTGTGTGTGTCAGCTCGCTGTGAGTAATCTAACAACACTGAATAAATTATCGTTAATTACTTAGCAGTAAACATTTCATTTTTTTCTTCGTCGATATGTTATTTTATTATTATATATTATTATTTGCCGATATATTGGCCGGGCCGCAAAAATATTTGTTGTGGGCCGCGAGTTTGACATCCTTGGTGTAGACCATTGCATCAGACACAATGCAATACACTGAATTTGTGACGAATTTAATTATTCAGATATGTGAAGAGCAAAAAGAAAGAACCAAATGAGCCATGGGATCCGAAAAATCAATTCAGTCGTCAAAAGCTAACTCTCTGAATTGATTTCTTTGAACTGTAATTTTGAAATCCCCTAAAACCTCCTTTCTGCACAGAACTAACAATAAAATTCTGGAGCAGAATTTTTTCTAAAAGTTGGTAAAGGATAAAAATTGAACTCACTTTTAACACTGGAGGATAGACATTCTTTTCTCCCCTAAAGTGGGAATCAAACTTTTCTTTGCATTCCTCCGACAAATGCTGTGCTCTTTTTTTCGCAAATCAGACTGCAGATCTCTATTCCTGTCACGCTACCAACAAGAGTTTTCTGTGAACAGTGTAAAAAAGCTACAACTTTGTTTTCTGAAATCGGAGTAAATTCGCTCAGTAAAATGAATCAGTTGCAGAGTTGGATAAACCAGCTCTAGTATGTTGTGCATATAACCTTTAATGCTTGAAATTATTGGTAATATGCTGAGGGTTGCACATTTTTAGAATGATTTGGGGGCCATTTAATTAATTTTTAAAATGTAAAGAGTATTTTTTTAATGTTTGATCTGATAGCCTTTTTTCTGGGATTATAATTCTGCATCCTGATTTCCATGATAGAAGGGCTTTTTGTAAAATTTCCAGGGGGTATTAATTTGCACTCCTCACTATTACTTTCCAGAGTTCATCAATCCCTCTCAGTCTGCGTTTAATAAAAGCTTTTTTCAATGTACCAAAGACACAGCAATCCATAGTTGAAATGTCAAGGGACTTAGCGGGATTACATTGAAAAGATTCATATGCAATATCAGTACGAGTCTTTATTTTGTCAAGGAATGCAGTGGAATTTTTCGGTTCTCTCTTCGAAAGTCATTCGTATAAAAAAAGGGAATTTCTGCTGTGAATATTGGACATAAAACTTTCCCTTGATAGTATGTTGATTTTTAACATTTTTTTCTTAATCTTCTTATTTTTAATTTCCCATTCTAAGAGAATTCTGTGACTATCATAAATCCCTTACTGAAACTTTCTTTGCATTGACAGAACCAGGTTTGTTACATTTTTCCCTTTATTTTCAATGATAGACTTTTTTTGTTGCAGTCATTTAGGTAAAGCCATGCTTCATCAAGGATTACTATGTATTTTCATTTATTTCTGGCTAAATAGTTTTCAAATAAGGTTCTACATATTGTCCTTCATTGAGCCACATGCCTCGGTAAAAGCTGTAGTATAAGTAGCAGACGATATTCTTCATTTCAAATAGTAAGCTGTGGCTAGAAATTGTTATTCCAAAGCATTTGCTTTTTTTAAATTCTTTGTTGAAATTTTTCAAAAAATGTGTAACTACCCTTTGTAGTTCTATATGTTAAACTTAATTTTTACTATTCTTAACATGTAAAAACTATTACCAAAATGAAATATTTAAAAGTGTTTAGTAACTCCTTATGGAGATGAATGGAAATTTTACAAATGTTTATTTTGTCCATTAGTATTTATATAAAGGATTTCACATGACAGAGCTCTAATTTAATCTTTATTGCAGCATCTGATGTGTTCGATACCGTGAAGCATTTTGGAAAGAACTTCACAAGTTTCATAATATATCAGCCTTCTGTTACTTTTACCATTTTTCTGAAGTTACGAATGGATTAATTCTACAATTCAAAAGATTCCAGATGGTCAGTCCTTGTTTCTAAACTGTGATATCGTATTCTATAATCTATATTGAAATCCTAGTGGAATGGTGCAAATGTATTTCACTTTATACATTGAATACAAATATACCAATTAAGTTTTCCTTAAAAAAGCATATCATACTAGCAATTAAACAATTTTTATGATTTAATCAGTTATAATGTTACTAGATTTAATGACTATGTGATTTACTTCCTATGTGGGATTTTAGTATTTCACGCTCCCCCTTAATAGTAATTTGCAGTAGTTGTACATTTTTATACTGTTATGAAAACATATTTTTGATAATTTGTTTTTTTAGTTGATTGGCATGAAAAATATTTAAATTTTAAAACAAATTTTTCTACATATAGTTGTGAAATTTTTGTATTTTTATTTAAAACAAGTGAGCTTATTTTTTCATAAATGCTTACTACAAATACTCTGAATACTTCTTAGGTGTGAAACTTGCTGATCTCTTGTAGGAAAATTTTATATATATTTTAATTACTAAATTAATATATAGAGCAGTTCTTTCAATAGCATTTTGTAATTTATCTTAAAACAATTGTAAACTTTCAATAACTGTGCTTGCATCAGCAATTCTTATTTTTATTATAGCCTACACTATATTTTGGCATTAGGTAATTGTTTCATCATTTTCTGCAGTTTCAGCTGAATTGCAAATCAATAAGATTCGCATATTCTTAATACTTTATGCGTACAGAAACTACGATTCTTATTAAAAACATAATATACCTTTCAGCCTAAAGAAATCTTATCTTTCATGTGTAGAGTGTGCAGAGGCTTAAAATTACTTTACTAATTATTAAGTCATGATCAATTACATACATTCTTATGCTTAATATCTTATTATATTGAATGTAATCATAGTATCATTTGTAATTTGATAATTATTTGTTTAATTATTTTATCATTTTTATTTTGCTTAGCTGCTGCATTTTACATGTTATGTAGTGTATATTTGTTAGCAGTTATTTTTGTATACTGAAGTTTTGTTAAATGGGTTTTGAGTGCAATCTTTAAATTACAATTTATTTTTTTAATTTCTATGTATTACTGCAGGGATTATTGTTGTAAATTATTTTTCTAAATGATTGTGTTTTATATCATAAAGGTTCTACTTAATTAAAATTGTTAGTTTTTATTCAAAAGATAAATTATAAATGAAGGCAATTGTGTGTAAGGCTAGAGATTACATAATTAAATTTTAGCAAAGTCTTTTTTTTTTCTCAACATTTGTCTGTATTTCATTCGTGACTGGTAGAAATATTACTAGGAAATTTTTGAAAGCAGAATGTTTTAATTTTTGTATGCTAAATCATCAGAAAGAGTGTTAACATTTAGGAAACTGTTTAGTCACATTTATTGAAATCATAAAATTTGTTAAAATTATTATTATCAGTAACAACTTACTAGCATTGTAATAATTTATTTATTAATCAGCTTATTTTCTTATGTAAATTTTATGTTGTCATTCTGAGAGATTTAAGCATTAAAATGTTTTAACACTTAGTACTGATACTAAAATGTTTATTAAAACAAATTTTCAGAAGTCAGTAGGATATTTAACTTTATATGTAATATATATGAACTTGGTGTATTCTAACAAAATTAAGTCTATGTTTTGTAATTGCCTTTGTTTCTTATTTATCTTTACAGTATTATTTTTCAAAGTGCCAAATCTAATACTCTATATTTATTCTATAAATAAAAGAATTTAAACAAATCTGTGTAATTTTTATATTTTAATTTTAGAAAGTTTAATGTTGAATACTTTAGAAAGAATGAGAGGAGAAGACAAATATCTTATATTCGATATATTATAAGCAAGATTTCAAGAAGGCAGTGGTTTACACATGTGAAGTATGTTTTGTAAAGCACTAGGTGATTCATTCAAAGTTGCAGTGACAACTGTGCTGCAGATAAAATTATGAGTCACTAAAAAGATTAATTAATACTTCTGTATGATACAGAAGAGAATTTTGCATTTAAGAGGTGGTATCATAAAACTAGCTAAGAATTTTCTAGAATATCTGAAACATACTAGATGGGAAGAAAAGTTAGGCAAAAAAGCAACTCTAGGTTGGCATAAATTTTAAATAAAATAATTTTTATTTAAAATATATGTCAACCTTAGTTTGCTTTTTTTGCCTAATTTTAGTTTTTAGATTGCTGTATTTTCTCCAAGTTCTACTGGAGGGGACTAGATCACATGATCTGTATAAAGTCCGTAGGTATAAATTGTCAGTTGATCCTAGTTTCCCAATATGCACGCTGAGAAGATGGGAAATATTACTGTTCTTAAACACATCTTACATCTAGTCTCTCATGCCATCTATATGTTGTGAGTGATCGGTTGCTTGCGAGTAATTAATTACTTTCATATTGACTAGAATCATTATTTATATAGCAGTCCATATGAGTGCAGCAGAAATCATACTAATGTTGGCAAGTTTTAGTATCACTATTTGCAGTTTAGATATTCACTGGCTTTCACATATTCTAGATCTTGTACAGGGTGGCTAAAATAAAACTGGCCTAAAAAATGTATGAAATACTGCCACTAAATTTACCTTTGTTGATGAACAGGAGAAGAATTGCCCTTCGCTACATAACCTGTTTTGTGCCATTTCGATATTACATTTTCCATTGCATATATTGCTGGAGGTTTTGCCAACTTTTTTCCATTCTTGCTCAAATAGTTCAGTACACATTTTCCATGATTTGTGCTTTGCATGGCACTCAACAACAAACACATGTTGTTTTATCATTTGCAACATTTTGTGTTTCATTAAACTGATCCCTAAACACATCTGCATCTATCATTTAAACAACTGGTTGCTGTTCTGTGCCTGCTTCTTTTATGTCTGTCCCAATTTCTGATGATCTCTTTGCTGTTTAGAGTACATTCTCACGAAATTCTGAAAACATTTTTCCAACCCAGTTGTATTTTGGCCACACTGTATAAACTGTCTTGAATGGCTTGTTCAGGAGAGTATTCATCGAAGCTTTGTTCCTAAAGGCAGTAGAGACAATAAATGTGTACTTTAAATATCTGATACTTAACCACTGTTTAAAAAACACTTGAATATTCAGTTAATTGTACAAATATTACAAGTTTGTATCTTTATAAGAATTATACAAAATCGTGTCTATCAACTTTTCTTTAGTCTAAATTTAATGTATGTAAAATTTCTTGTTGTTGTTGTGTTCTGAGGTATATAAAATGCAAGTTACAGCCTATCAGTCTAAAATTTTAAAAAAAGTGACAGAATAAAATAATATAACAATATTTGCAGTGAAAGTAGCATTATGTTTTTGACCTAAGCAATTTCATCTATCTTCAAAGCATATAACAGTTTCAGAAACCTGTGCATATTTTATGAGATTAGTTATTAGAACCGTTTAAATAATGCTTAAAAAGTTTGTAATCACTAATTTGTTTTTATCACTATTTCATATAATTATAAATGCATGAGATTATTTTTAATTACTAACATGAATACATCAGAAGGGTATAAAATATCTAACAATTTCAATGTTTATTCAGTTACCATCAACAGATAGCATTCTAAGAATAACAGTGTATTGTTGTAATAATTGTTGATTTTCCTATAAGTATTTTTATTACAATAATTACAAAAATGATATTTGCTTGCCATACACTGTAAGATATTTTTTAAAATGAATAATTAGAATATTTGGTTTATAATTTTTAACATTCCAACACTGATTATCATCTTATTGTGTTAGTGAGTTATTTGAAGTATGGCAAAACACTCGAATTATCTGTGTCGGTCAAGAAATGCCTTCACGGAGGACTTCATCTAGGAAACTGGCTTGTATTTTGTGGAGGACTTTCTAAGGGAAACTGGCTCATATACACGTTACATATGGGGAAAACTACAAAAGTGCTCATGCAGCCAGTCCATTCTCGGAATTCGAACCTCGGACCGAATTACAAGTGTTTAACAACTTAACCGCTCGGCCGTTGGTGAGCCACTAGTAACAGTAACTGGCAAAGTTAAAAGTATTTTTAACGTTACTTCAAAATTCGGATTAAATTAAATTGCATTTGTGAAATATTTTTAAAGGGTCTAAGCTTGCAGGTGCTTTAGTATCCGAAATTACTGAAAATAACATGTTTTTAAAAGTAATATTTGTGATTAAATTTCTGCAGCATTTATAAGTAGGTAGGATTTGGGGGTTTGAAGCCACAGGATGCTGGGAGAGGAGGGATCTGCCAAGAAGCACGCGGGGTTTGCTACATTATCAACCACGTGGCTTAACCCCAGATGCATTGCATCCTGTTCATGATGTCATCGCATTTTGTCACCTCGAATTATCTTGCCATTGCTTCGTCAACCACCTGTTTTATCCTATTTCTGTTGTAATTCGGTTTCATGTACACGTTTATCTATTGACACAGAACACCCCACTGTTCTGATGTCATACTAATTCTGCAACCTGATTGTAACATGCAGATACATGCTAGAAGTTTCTATTTAGTTCAGCAATGGGCGCTAGATGGCAGTAGTTTGATTGGTTCTCCTGGATCCCAACCAAGGCCTATATAGTCAGACGCTGGACCACTTTCCACCATTTCTGCCTGTGTTATATGCTTCACTCCTGCTTTTGCACTTCCTGTCTGCAAGACGCGTTATTCGAAATAAGTATTTTATCATATATCTTTTCGTATATCGTATTCAATATTAATATTTATTTTATTTTTATTACATGTTAATATTTATTTATTTTTCATTTTTATTGGATAGTAATATTTAGTTTATTTTTAATACATATTAATATTTATTTTTATTAGATGATAATATTTAGTTTATTTGTTCATATGAGATGTTCGTATTTACTTTTATAATTTCTTCTTTATTTTTGCTTCAAATTTTTCATAGTGACAATTTTAGATGAACCTATTTCATTTTGATGTAAGTAACTAATTGTCTATACTTCTTTTATATTAGATTTTATTCTGTATTTTTCGCTATTATTTATAGATTACATTTATCGAGATTGTAGCAAAATATCATTTCTAATGTAAAATTCTTCCTTAAATATTTTTTAACTTAATGATACTCTAATGTTTTAATGTGAATATTACCCGATCGTGCATTTCTTAAATTATGTACAGCATACTTTCTTTTTCCTGATGCAAATCTTTTTAGTTAAATCAACAATACTTCATGTTTTCATGTAAATATCATCGCATTTTTTAAAATGATGATTTGCCCTTTACATTCTTTCTTTACATTTAACTGCCCTTTACATTTAACGCTGAAATATATTTTTAATTAGTTTGTTTTTACTATTATAAGTAGATTTATTTTAAGTTATTATTATTTTAACTTTCGTAGTCATATTTATTTGTTTACTATTTTTTTTTTTTTTTTTTTTTTTTTTTTCCCATGAACATTCGAATTTTTTCTTTATTTTTTCAGATGAAACATACATCCGAGGCTATGTTTTTAAATAATGAGGCTGCTCAACCACAAGGCAGTGTAAGTATCTCTCTTTTTTTAAATCGTATGTTTGAGAATTTTTGAGTTATAATACTTATTTTTGTGCTCTTATATTTTTGGATGGATGCTGAATATATTTTCGAACATGAAGACATGCCTTTGGATGATCAAACAATTCTATTATGGATTTTGGTGATCTTACATCATCACAGCTGGATTCGCCTTTTGTTGATACCTCAAATTTGACTTGCTTGGAGTGTAATAAAATCTTTGCACACCAGAGAAGCTTGACAAGACAAATTAAGGTGCAATATTCGTCAGGTAAATACATTTGCTCCGTATGCCAAAAGATCTTCGAATGCTCCAATGAACTGAATAATCATATGAAGGTTCATGCCAAACGACCGAAATACGGACCATCTCGCTCAGTGATACAAGCAGCTCCACCCGTTGTAATGCCTGTCCCCAAAAAACCAGGATCAGAGCGTCCACCATGCCTTGGTACGTTTTCTGTGGAAATCATTTATCCCAATGAAAACACCAGTAAAGACTTGCAAATATTTCTGGAGTCAACAAAAAGTGATGTTGCAGACAAGCTTCAAGAAGCTGCCACACAGCAACAGGGGATTAAATGGTACTTCAAATGCTTGTGTAAAGATGATCAGAAAAGTGTCGGAGACTGAAGAAGAAACATGCATTACTTACTTACTGCCTGATATGCTGACAGCTATTGAGAAGGTAAGGAAATTTATTTTATATGAATTTTAATTTATTTTATATAAAGTGTACAAGATAAAAATTAGTATCACTCATGAAATGTTTTATTTTGCAGATAATGGATTCCTTGGACAAATTTCTGAAAAAAAAGGTTCAGGATGGGTTTTAGACTCCGTCCAATACCTCGATCTCAAGATTGCTGTCTACAGACCTTTAGCTGCTTCCTTCTACATACCACTACCGAAAGCCTTAGCCAGTAAAATTTCTGTTCTCATTATACAAAATGAAGATCATAAATGTCTCGTCTGGAGTGTCTTGGCGGCCTTTCATCCAGTTGAAGATCATAGAGAACATGCGTACAGAGTATGCCATTACAAGCCTTACGAAAAAGAACTCCACGTATACGGCTTGTCTTTTCCTACCTCCATTCACCAGCTGGACAAATTCGAAAAGATGAACAATCTATCAATCAATTTGTTTGGGAGCAATGAGGTTTTGCCTCTTCGAATCACCAGGAGTCAAAACGGTAATTTATCCTCATTTTTGTAACCTTGTACCTTTTTGGTAGCATGCATGTTTTTGCTCAAGTTGTTGATTTGTTTTGTTGAATAATATGTTTCTTTTTTAGGTGATCACCATATCAATCTCTTGCTCATTTCCGATGACGAGAAGAGACATTATTGTCTCATTAAGAATATGTCAAGACTTCTTGCTGTGCTTAACCAAACATAAGTATGCAACATTTTATTGCGACCATTGCCTTCACCAATTCACGAAGAAAGAGACTCTCGACGCGCATGTGGAAGACTGTCGAGCCCGTGGACCTCAAACAATTAAAATACCGGAAAACAAATGTCTTCAGTTTGAAAAATTCCAATTTCAACTACTCATTCCATATATATATAATTTATGCAGATTTTGAATCCATTTTTGTGAAGCAAGCTACCTGCCTACCGGATCCATCGAAGTCATCCACCACCCCTGTAGCCGACCATCTTCCTTGCGGATCAACCATTTTCTAGAAGTTTTACTCGAAGAAGAAAGGGGCATCTCAGACATTTTAAGAAGTGTAGAACCCATGATTTTGACTCAAGAGAATCAATACGGATATATCAAGAAAACTTACGGATCAAAGGCCCGATTATTATTTACCGACACGGACAATCTTTGCTACAAAATAGAAACTGCTGATAGCTACCAAGACATGGGAAACAATCTGAGCTTATTCCATACCTCAGATTACCCAGAAAATCATCCTCTCTACAGCGTTACAAATAAAAAGGCAATTGGTAAAATGAAAGACGAACTGTCTGGACAAATTGCCCAAGAATTTGTTGGGCTCAATCCAAAAATGCACAGCCTTCTGAGTAACTTTACTGAGAAGAAAACTGGTAAGGGTGTATCTGAAACAATCATCAGAAGATAAATTCGTCATTTGGACAACGTTAACTGCCCTTTAAAACAATGCGGGCTTGCCCATGTGGACAACGTTAACTGCCCTTTACAACAATGCGGGCTTGCCCATGCACAACGTATTGCCAGCTACGGTCATCAGATAAAAACTGCGGCCTATACGAAAGCTACTTTGTGCCCTTTCAATGCGAAACGGTATTTTTTAGAAGATGGGATATCATCTTATGCATATGGACATTTTAATTTTTAGTTTGAATAATTTTATCTCTTTATATACATTCAAAATTCTAAAATATTTTATAGTGTAAATTTATGATGTAAATAGTAGTGTAATAAAATGTCTTCACACTTTAATAAATGTTTATTTAAATATATCATTTCTTGTTTTATACTTTAAAAAACTAGTTCTTCAGTAAAATGAAAGTTCTCTGAATATTTTCAAGAAAATTTTAACAAGTTAGAATATTTTAATTAAGTTGGAATAATTAATCTAATAAGTTGGAATAGTTAATTTTAGTTTTATCAAAAAATGAGAAATTAGAAAAATTAAAAATTTGGTAGAGCAGCTATGAATAGAATTGTTTTTCAAATAAGAATTTAGTTAAGATGAAACTCTTAAAATTAAAGCATCCTTTCACGATGTTAGCTGCTGGTCCTAGTGGTAGTGGAGAAATCATGTTTATTAAAAAAATTAATGGGCCATCAAATGCTCACACCTTTCCCTCCTAAAATTATCTGAGAATTTAGGAGATAATTTTAGGAGGAATGTGCTATGGTGCTAAGTCTTTACGTTGAGATGAATCATATCGAATTTTGTGATGGTTTGTCTGAAAACATCCACACTTTATCAAATTCTCTGATTATTATTGATGATCTTATGCTGGAACACAGAAATGATGAAAGATTGACCAAGTTATGTACCAAAAGATTTCATCATCGAAATCTTAGTGTTATTTTCATTGTGCAAAATTTATTTCGTAAAGGTATTCGGGAAATGTCTTTGAACGCTAATTATTTAGTGCTCTTTAAAAATACAAGAGACAAGTTTCAAATTATGCATCTTGAAGGCAGTTATATCCAGGAAAGAACAAGTTTTTTTCAAGAGGTGTATCAGAATGCTACTTCTAAACCTTACAGTTATTTACTGGTTGACCTCAAATCTAAAACATCTGACTCCATGTGTCTGAGAACGCTTTTCCCAAACAATAAATACTACGTCTATCAACCTCGCTAGTCATTTGGTGGTGACGCCGTCAACGAGTGAACATGTCTGCGGTGATAGACTTTGAAGGTTTCCAGCATTCTTCGGGCCAGTATGTTATTAAAGAACTTGCAGCTTTTGCAGTAGGGGACCCAACGTATCATGGCAGATAAACTTTTCAACCCCCATGTTCCTGTGAAGATTTTGACAAGAAAACACAACTCATGTTTTTGTGGGTATCTCGGAATATACGTCATATGGACTGGACGTATGGAGAAATGTCATATACAGCCATGAATTTACTCCTCCACATGTTGTTTCGTCCATTTAAAAATATATATGTAAAAGATCTTAAATTTTTTTTTTTCAAAATCATATCAAAAAAAGAAGTGATTAATTTGAATGATATAAACTGTGTCCTTTTTCACGACTTACCACCATGAGAAATAGTCTGCTCTTATTTGCATGTGAAGAACTTTTCACATTGTGCTGGGCAAAAAGTCGCCGCTAATGCACACTTTTTAGAGAGACTATAAAAGCCAAACACGTTTTTCTTTCCTGTCATTTGTGCACAAAATGTCGAACTGCACAATTAGAACAACTAAAACTCATCTCGAAAAGTAAATTTTCAAGTTTTTTGCTGCGCAAGTGCCTCAATAGTGTCATAAAAACTGTGTGTGAGTGTGCCTTAAACTTGCTTCAAGGTCATCTTTCCATTTTCCCCAAACGAAAGGCTCAATGAGCACCTTACAAACGAAGCTTACAAAAACTTGCCAATAAAAAAGTATACCTCTCTATAAGAAAAGAAGACTAGTTGTACAAAGAGGGGAAGGTTTTTCTAAATGTTCTCTCACCTGCGGCTATTTCTCTCATTTGTTTTTTTATTCATGGAGTTTAGTAAAAAAAACTCATCGTACCAGAAGAAAGAAGACAAACGGTGGAACATCTTACCGAGCTGGATTTAGAAAATGGATCAAATTTTAAAGAAAGACCTTCATGAAAGTGAAAAAGCAGCCTTATTTCTACAAGTGCTCCAGAAATATATTACGTATCAATTACCACCACCCGTTGAAAAATCAGAGAAACCTATGGAAAAGAAAGAAGACACTTTGGTGTAGAAAGAAGAAATTATTACGGAAGATTCATTTGAAAAAAAGTTGTGAATGTGGCTTCTTTAAAACACAAGTCTCAATCAAAAGACATATATCATCATATGAACATGCATATTTCAGCTAGAGGAAAACTCATTTATCGGGATCAAGTCGTTCCAGGGACTCATCATCAATCAATTTTTAAGAAATAAAAAAAAAAAAAAAAAAAATCAGTTGGTGGACCAAAAAGAATTGTATGCTGTGTTAAAAGTATTAGGTTTACCTACTATGTATGATGTTTATAAAAAAATTAAATGTCATGTATGCTCGGAGAAATGTGTACATTAGATATTAAATAAAACAATGTTAATTTGATATATGTATTTTATTGTGTTCTTAGGAATAAGATACTTTCCTTAAATTAAAAATAATTACGTCTAAAAAGATTTTTTTCTAAGACTGAAAAGTTTTATTTACATTTTTTCTAAGATGAAAAATTTCAGTTTTTGTTAAGTCGAAAAATGCTCATTTAGATTTTTTTAGGTCGAAAAAATTTCACTTTAATTCTTTTAGGGAGAAAAATCTTCACTTTTATTTTGTCTATAGGAAAACCCACGTTAATTTCGAAATGTAACGGGGAAAAGTTACACTTTGATTTTATAAAATGGAAAAATTTCACTTTAATTTTTTTAGGGAGAAAAATCTCCACTTCTATTTTACGTATGGAAAACGTATGTTAATTTTAAAGTATAAAGGCAAAAATTTACACTTTGATTTTATAATGTCGAAAAATATTCATTTAGATTTTTTTAGGTCGAAAAGTGTTATCTGCTTTTTTCTTCATATGAAGAAGTTTCATTGTGATTATATTTAAAACTCAATATGATTTTATAAGTTGAAAAGCTTAATTAATTCAGAAAAATAAACCACCAATGAAAAAATACATTTCAAACATTTTATTGCTTAAAAATCATTCTTACACCATAAGTTTTTTCCACAAATTGGTACAGGATAAAATCACTCATTTTACATAAATTTTCAATAATGGCTTACATAGATTGGCCTTGGCTTCGTTTTAGTACATAATAAATACAGCATGCTCCACAGACATTAGAAATTACATTCTGTAATGGAATATTATTCCATCTTGCATTTGAATAGTGAAATCCATAAACATCTGCAGATAGTCCATAAGAATCAAAACATTCTAATTCTTCACCTTGAAAAAAGGCTACCCAGTACGCTTTGGATTCTGTGGACTTGTCTGTATTCACAACGACGGCGGATCTTCTAATTCTGCTGGATAAACTCCTCGAAAGACAGCCGCTGCTTCACGAGATAAAATGTCTTATATAATACGATCATCCATCAGTTAAAGTCAAAAATGATGTTCCTCGATTTATTAATTTCAACTATGTTTTCAAATTCCGCAAAAATAATCACATACACGGTTTGCTCGAGAAGTTGGCTGAACTTTAACTCAATTCGTAGATTAGAATGCTTAATGAGATTCCTGTGCTCGCCGTCACAAAGATCTGGCGATAATTTGAAACCAAATTACACATTACCTTGTAAATATTCTTCTCTCGATATAAAAGTGCCTTTATCCTGCTGGGATTTATATACAGGCTATGATAAGCTCGAATATAATTGTTGCTATCAAAATTTGGTTTCAGTGGATTGTAATGCACAGGCTGTTCGTGAACGTACACTCCAATGAAATTCAGGTGATAATGTTTAAACACAAATGCTGACTTGACAAAATTTCCGTGAAAAGCGCCATAATCAACACATCCAATTACAATTCTTTAAGACATCTGACCAACAAAAACATTGTCTATTTCGAAGAATGGAATAGACTTTACATAATACTCTAAATTAATGGGATACTTGGCATTACTCTTATCTAACACTTTGGCATGACCGAGGATACCTCCAGGGCTCACATGCACTTTTCTCACGAAAAACGATACATCTTCTAAAACCATTTTATGACCTGCTTTTTCTTGCAAACAAAACTCCGGCTTACTTCTTACGAAAGTTAATTTAACATCACCGTACTTAATAAAAGCCTTTCTTGATGAAATAAATCAAAATAAATGCTATCAAACATATCAACAGTAGAACTCAATTTAAAAAAGGAAGATCGCTTCTCTAGATCTTTGTCATGCATTTCAGTTTTGAAGTTTTATTATCACAGCCGTGTTTGAGCAAAGTTTCGATATAAGCTCTCTAGTGTTATGTGTTACTAGAAGGTGACACCAATCGTTCGTTTAATGTCACATCCACCTGAGAAACTAAAGAATGCAGGAACAAATTTACTGGGCTGATGCTGGCATCTTTATACAGAGGTGAACCATCCGTTTTTATTATTTTTGTTTTCACGTAGAGTTGCGTTTGTGACAAGTCAATATAATCTTCTCCACTGCTTGAAATATGAAATTCTACGGGACTTCCGTCAAGTACATTTAGATAGAGAATGAAACTGAACCCATTGGTTGCTCTGAATCGCCGTTTGAGTCCCTGGTAAATGAAACAGTTCTAATGCGGATTTAATACATTTGGGGAATCTTTCATTATAAAAGCCATTATGAATTGAAAATATCACGTTTTCTCTGCTTCACAGCTTTCGGAGAAATGAAGTGTTTTGACTGTTTTCGCTTACTTTTTATACTTGCCGCCATGGTTTGGGCTTTATACGAATAGCTTTTTCCGCTGATACTTTTCCTGCTCCTTTGGCTCTTTGTTTAGCAGCAGACTCAATGTTTTCACCTGCCAGCACATCATTTGCGATGAGAGCTCCGGTGCGCAAAGCTTTTTTCACAAACAAGGCATAGCATAGCGAATTAGACTTCAGAAAAAATCTCCTGAGGGCGTAGCCTTTTTGATAGAGTTGACCTGGATAATAAGGAAGTCCTGAGCCGGTTTGATAATGGTTTTCATAATTTTGGCTACAACATTCGTATGGGACGAGCATCTTTATGTCTTTTACAAATAGAACTTTTGCTCTTCTGTTGTCATATTTATAGGATTTGTCGCCTTCGGAAATGGAGTACAAGAATTAACTTACCCTCTCAAAAGGAACGCATGTACCCGAATTGAGTCGGATTTGCACTTCGATTGTATTAAATGAAATTCTTGCTACTGGTACATAATGGGGTCTGTCGTATTGTTCATTTACGGTATCACCATCTTTTCCAATGACTGTCACGACTCTTAAGAGCGGAGCTTGCACATTACCCACAGTCTGAGGCGAAACTATATCGCTATGCACGTAAAGTAATGTATAATTAGAATGCAAATCACCCACATATGGCCTATTCCAAGTACCTTCAACAATCTGCCATTCGAAGCCTAATAAACTTGCTAATCCGGAATCATAAAAGATTAACCGAGCTCCATTTTGTATTACGATTTTCACTGTTTATTGTAAAGCGATCATACTGTAAAGCGATTTTGTCTTTAAATGATGCTGAGACCTGGCTTTTAAGAGATCTGGGACACTTTCGTAACATACTGTTGGTATTTTTCTATTGGAAACTTCCCTTACACTGAAGAGTCACCCAAATCAAAGCCAAAGAGATTGTTATCTTTGTTAATATTGTACCAGGTATGCGGATAAATGATCTCAGAAAGACCAACATCCCATTTGCCGTTCAAAGATATGTGTACGGCAACTGAGTAATGAAATGAAAGATAGTATTCTCTGTAAAATAATGCTGAAAGCAAACACTAGGTACCGTCATATAGAAAGACATCTTGGCAAATGACGATTCTTTACATGATGGGGAGTTTTTATATGCTTTTCACATCGGTTACTCATGCATTAAATTTTGGTGGATAACCTACGAATTTCACACAGTATTTTGTCACACCGTCTTTCTCGCAACACTTTTTCAGCAGGATGATATCCCGAATCTGAAATTTTTTGCAGTTCCTTTTCATAGAAGGTGCCTTTAATGGCTTCTCCAGCGAGGTCTTTAAACAGATGGATTTCTAGGAAAGATTTCATGGATTGTAAATATTTCTCTCCTCCGGTTACTTTCATAGCTTTTTTCAAAAATCATTTTTAATTTGCTCATCCGGAATCATAAAAGATTTTGTATCTCCCACTTTGAACTTAGGTTTAAGTTTAGGTAGTTCTTTATATAATTGATTCCACACTAGTTTTTCATCGTGTTTATTGACGTTCAATGGTTCAGTTTGAATAGGGCGATGCCAGGTATGATTACAACTGTGAATTAATTTTTCTATTACGCCATTATAACGATACGTATTCACTTCACTGAAGTACTTCCACATTTTGCTTTTGAGGGTTTTATGGAATCGCTCGATGGTGTTTGCCTTCACTGTTCTGTTCTCAGTTGTGAAGAAACGAACTTTTTCAAGATAATTTTGAACGATTTTATTTTTATATTCCTTACCTTTGTCAGTCTGTAATACGTGTGGTTTTCGCTCACCTGTTTTGTCTTTGAGTGGAATAGCCCAAGCGTTTTTGGAAAACACATCAATACATAATTCAGAAGTCAAACAACAAAATCAAAAATCAGAGTTATATTTTCAAATTTCCACAGGACTAGTTTCGATGGTTTTACCGAACCACCATCCTCAGCTGTCAAAACGCAAATGAACGAGATAGGATATAACGATTAGATAAGATAAGAAAGCCTGGACAGAAAATAAGCTAGTGGCGCCATCTGTTGATGAAACCAGAACTAAAACATAATTTCTTTAAAGCAGGACTTTGGCTTGTAAATATCTCATTTTAATTGCTTAAGTTTTACCTCAACATGCGTGTTCTTTTAATACGGAGGATTTTAGTTATCACATGAGTTGTATAATTTTTTTAGACTGAAAAACTAATAAAAAGGTCTCTTCTAACTTCTTCTGTGACCACTGTTATTTCACTGGAAGTCTAAACCAGGCCAATAAGTCTCCTGATTATTACAGGGATCCAGAAATTACATTTAAAAGAGTTAGGCTCCGTACATCCATATTTCGTAGTCAAAGTTTTCAAAAATTTTGATTTCTGTCCATGCGGGCCTTAAGGAATTCGTCGCAGTGTTTCGATTTGGGAAAAACAAATCTGTTTTCCCCCAATCTTTTAAGCCATGAAAAATATTTCTGTTTATTTGGGTGAGAATAGTTGTTGACATATATCAGTCACAGTTTGAATTTGACAGATTTTCTAAAAGTAATCATTTTTGTATCATTTAAGACTATTTCAATGCTTCGTTTTAAATATGCAACAAAATCTGATATTCATTCACTGTATTTCAGCGGCCGAGCGGTAAAGTCGCTGAACACTGGTAGTTCGGTCCGAGGTTCGAATCCCGCGAACGGGCTGGCTGCATGGGCGTTTTCGTGGTTTTCCCCATGTGTAACGTGTATACGAGCCAGTTTCCCTTAGAAAGTCCTCCACGAAGGCATCCCTCCCCTTAGGCAGATAGCCCTAGTGTGCTTTGCAATAATTATATACACACACCATTCGCTGTATTTGTTTATTAAACGACATGGCTTTGAGTTGGATCATGTCTGCTGCTGTTCATATTTTACTGGAAAACTGTATCCTTTTAAAATGCTTCCATAGCAGTCAAAAATTTCATTTTATACAACGAAATAGTACCAAGCTCTTAAATGGGGTTAGGCGTCTCTGGATGTGACTGTATTTATGAATTTGATAAATATGCGTCGTTATTGAGAATTTTATTATTCTTTAAAACAATTATTTACAACCAGCGAAAACTCCAGTTTCCGTTATCAAGTTTAAACATTTTAGGTACTAAATAAATCAAGGAATTACTTTTATAGCTATTATAACAAAGCTATTTTTCTAATGATGTTATTTCTAATTCTATAACAAAGCTATTGTTCTAATAATGTTATTTTACAAAAGGGCTTTTTTTTTTTTTTTTTTTTTTTTTTTTTTTTTTTTTTTTTTTGATTCTAGTTATGTTATTTCTAATTTTTACTATTGATTATCAACACCCCCTTTAAAGTTTCCTCCGTTCACAGGGGCTCAATACCGATACCGTTGAAAATCCCTGGTATGAAACGTTAATGTTTCATTGCTCTCAATTATATTGGAATTGTGTGTTTAATCAACTGTTTTAATTACACTCTTATAAACCTCTCTCCGTTAATTATAAATAGTTATATTCAAATTTCTCACAAATTCTCTTGCTGATCTATCACTTTCAATCAGTACTTTATTAGAAACCATAAGCATTTAAAATTTATTACTTTTCTCACGTTTCTATCCAAGAGATGATGTCTTTTGATACACTATCGTTATCAGTTTCAATAAATGGAGCTATAGGCAATTTTCGAAAATCTAAATGGTTGGTAAATTGTTGACGAAATTGTTTATGATATATCAAGTTGTCCTCTGAAAGAAAAACCGAGGGAGGATTAGCCGTTTTGTCAAGCTGGATATCAAGATCTCTGACTGGACTTCCCAATTTCGGCAAAGAGCACTCTAAATAAACCCAAATAACAAAGCATTCGAAAAGAATTGTAAAGCAGCATTTGATATACAGACCCAGAAGCATGCTTTTAATCCAGTCTGTGAAATATTCACTTACAAACTGAAAGGTCTGTAGCGTCATAGTAAGAAACAAACAGTTGAAATCTCCCATTTCATTTTCTGTGAAAAGATTCTATTCATTCTAATATGCCATTGGCGTAATGTTAGCAAGACCACAACACCTAGCCGTTTCTGAGTGCAAGACAAAGATCATGAAAAGGCAAAAATCATGATATGCTCTTTCATTTGGAAGTGACAACTGCGTTAGAGCTCCATATCACTCGTCAGCATTCATATTATAAAATGCTTTTGGTCATGTCAACTGGTATGCTAGGTAAAGAGTTCTTATTTAGATGGACAGATTTGTGACTGCAGACGGCTTCATATAATCATTAACTATTCCTGTTAGAAAGCAACGAACGTGGTTGATACTTTTCGTGTGCTTTTCACAAGTGCTGCGGTCCAAAAAAACGAGTATCGTTGGATTATGCACCGTTGTGTTACGACGTTGCTCCACGAGAATGCTCTCCAAAGAACCTTTATGTTCTCAAATTGCTTAGGAAATGTATTATTTGCTTTCAGCAATGTAAGAAGATGTTTCTACATCTTGGCACTCGAGAATATAATACGATCTTCGTCGTCGTAAAAATTCTTATCTGTATGGAATATGACTGATAATCCAATTTTCAACCTCAGCTGTGATGTGCGCCTATGGAAGTAGCTTCATTCATCTCAACTCCAAATACTATATTGCCGTAAGAAAAAGAAGTTTGTGTTCTCTGATGAGGGGAATGCGCTGAACCAGAACTGATATTTAGCAATGGTTTCCTAATAATTGCGCAAGCATTGTTCTGCTTTCTTTTTCTGTACATTGTATATTTTTCATTGAGAAACTAAAGGATGATTCTATGTCTGTTATAATGCTATGAAGTTTTGTTCTTATTATTCAGGTACTGTACTTTCTGGCGGTATGTTTAAAATGCTGTACATGCATTTAAAAGTTACTGTATGCAAATTATGTTTCAGCTTTATTTTTCTAATGTGAATAATTATATTTTGTAATATATTATTGATATAGCTGCATTTTAAGGATTATATATAATTTTACTAAATATTGTTTAATGATTAAAAAAGTTTAGAAATACATATAAGTTATAGTGTTAAAATTCATCATTTCTATATTTACTGATATCCGCATGCATATGTGTGTTATATTATTATTATTATCACATTGTACTGTAATTCCTATTTCAAAATAATGAAAGATCATACTAGCACCCACATGTATAATCATATATATGACCATTCAAATTATCTTAATATTTGTATTATATGTTAGGTCATGATGATAAACATGCCTTAGCGCTGGATTTAATTATTTATTATTTATTCATTAGTCAATAGCATATTTTAGCATGATTGTTCACAATTTACGCTTTGGTGATAGTTTAGTTTCGAAGGAAGAGTTCATAATTTGTAACTGCTTTCATATACCACCAAATACAAAGCATATTTTTTGTGACTGATTACTATTTAAGAACAAAAGGGCTTTTTTTTTTTTTTTTTTTTTTTTTTTGTTTGATTCTCAGAGCTGAAAAATGGCAAATTTTCTTATATTGTTTCAAATTTAAACCAGTAATTTATGCAAAATCTCTAGTCGCAATATAAAAGTATTTTTGTACTTTCTGCTTATCTGCCAGCAAATTACTCATTTTTAAAAATGTTAATGTAAAGTATACAAAATAGTTTAAAATATTAATGTCTTTTTCAAACATATCTCGTTTTGTGGTGAACCATATTCAAAAGTATTAAATAATTTTCCCACTTAAACATGAGGAAAATCCAATTTATACTATTATTTTATGTATTTCTTGCAAAATCAAAGTTTCTGCAGCCAATTAACAGATATTCTTTGATTTATTTAAAGATGTTAGTTTATTATTTACCAAACAATTAAAAATTGTCACACTTTTTTCCCCCCATAAAACTGTTTCTTACGCTGTACATTAATCTTGTTTATTTGTGTTCATGTAGTAATATCAATTTGTAAATTATTATTTTTTTAAAATATTTTTTAGTTGGGCATCATGTTTTTAGTTGGTCTTACGGGTGGTATAGCCACAGGAAAAAGTAATGTGGCATCTGTCATTCGCAGTATGGGTATAGAGGTCATAGATGCAGATTTAATAGCTCGTGAAGGTAATGTAAATTTTACTTTATTTTCCATAGTTTTCATATGTTGTAGAAAATGGGCAAGTTATTGGAAAATTTTATCATGTAAATTAAAGTAAAATAGCAGTGCATCACTCTTATTATTATTAAATCATTCAGTTGCTGATGAAAGGCAAAACATGAAGCATATTAACCCCTTAACTGCCGCGGGCGTATATATACGCCTTGCTCAGCCGATGCGTTAACTGCCCCAGATGCGCAGCCGATGCGTTAACTTTGCGAATAATTTTAGGTGTAGCAGCGCAAAGCAAATGATAGCAGTTTGGAAGGACGTATATATACGCCTGTAGCAGTTAACGCATCGGCTGAGCAAGACGTATATATATACGCCCTCTGCAGTTAAGGGGTTAAACTTGTATGCAATTCTTATCGAAACTTTACAATACCTATTGAAATAAATGGGCTAAAGCTGATGATAATTGTATCAGATAAAAATGCAACAGAGGAATATACTGAAAAGGTGTTAAGAAACATTATGTTATTGTATAAAATTTGAAATAGAAGTAATTCATTATCAGACTTGCACAGAATCCCTTATTTTAATGTATTATGCATCTTCATGCTTATCACATTTTTCATATGAACACAGTTTGAGCAACAATTTTTATCTTCCATTATTCATGAACAACAGAATTTATGTCTGTGAGAAATTAAAATAGTGACATTTCAAAGAGGGCATATCATTTTTATTTTAGCTGTATAATTTATCCAGTTTTAAATCTTTTAAGGTTGTTGCTGAATATACACTTTCACCATTTTGATGTTTTCAGTTTATAATCACAAAGTAGTAGTAAAAAAAATTTAAAAACTTAAAAAGGGAAAAGTTTGAAATAGAATGCTAGAGGCAACAACTAATGTTTCTTATAAACGTACTCTGTAGCTGAAACAGTTTATAGGATAGATTTCCAGTTACAGTATTTTACTCTGAGGTTCAAAATGAAGCTACCCAAATGATATCATGGTTTCCTTAATCTGTTTCAAACAAGGTAAAGAATGGCAGAGCATTTTCTTTGACAAATGAGAATTTTTCGAGAATTCGTTCTTTAATAGTAGCATGTCTCTATTGAAGGGATTGGTATCAGGGATAGAAACTTCTTTACAAATTGAGATTAATCAACATTTAAGCATGTTTATGGAATATTTGTGATAATGGGGCAAAATTGTAGTTTTCACAAAAAATAACAGTGTCGATCGGATAGCCAGTAATTCCATTTAACAGGACATGCCACCAGTCTGGTATTAATCAGTCTGTTATATTAAATAAACTGCATCGTGATGAAAATGAATGATTGTAAATCTCAGCGTTTGATATCATACTTTAGTTCTGCTATCATTGCTTGTCATATATTAAAATTTAATAACGATTATGATCATCTTTATTATATTAAACTTTTAACATATTTGCTCAACTAATTCATTAATTTGTATAAAGGTTCCTGTGCTAAAATGTATGTATGAAGCTTTTACTAATATTTTAAGATAAATGCTGTTTTACAGTTTTATATACAGGATGTGTATTTATTTCTAGTGGTGGAACCTGGGAGAAAAGCCTGGAAAAGAATAAGAAAAGAATTTGGTGATGCAGTATTTCATAGTGATGGTTCACTAAATCGTCCAGCCCTAGGTCAAATTGTATTCTCTAAACTTGAAAAAAGAAAACTTTTGAATTCTATTACACATCCTGAAATATATAAATCCATATTTTTTAGATGTGTAAAATATTTTTTTATGGGTAAGTTTTCCATGCATGTGAAAGAAAAAAAGTTTCATTATGTGCATAAATTTGCTAACAGTTTAATTTCTGACATTCTTTGATTATTCTTTGATTGGGGGATTTTCCAAAAGTTAGGATTAGCCACAAATTCATTCTAATACCTTCCTGAGATTTGGAGAAAGTTATCAGCAGTTCAATGACTTTCTTTACCTATTTTATGATAATTTGTGAATCTCTCTTTTTAATGATGATAATTTTTATCAAAAATTTTAGTTTATTAAGTTTCAGATTATTTTCTTTAATAGAATAGTCAACTCTCTCTCCATGCCCAACATTCTATATCTCTTAAACAAAATTACCACTTAATAATTTTTTGGTACTTATGTATTTATTCATCAACAATAAAATTTGCCACCCAACAGAGATAGTGGTTACTGACTCTGACTGCCATACTGAAGGGCCTGGGTTCAAATCCCGGAGGAGGCATGGGTGTTTGTAAATGTATGGTGTCTAGGCAGCATGGGGGCAATCTAAATTTGCGGCGAGCCGAAAGTCTCTTGACAGGTTGGTGGTAGGGAAAGGGGGATGGGAGACCATCAGACCCATGCCCCAAGGTGCTCTAAATCCTTTTTTGATATCCTATGGACTTAACAATTTGGGAATTGCCCATGACGAAAACTCGGCAATAGAATTTCGGGTAAAGTGCAGAATCACCCACTGCTTGACATGTGTTTAAGAATTGCACATACTCTGTATCCGTGTGCACATCGACCTATTTTCACTTAAAAAAAAAATCCTAGAATTGCACAAAAATGGCACTGCGCACACCCTTAACTTTATCTATGTACACATCGAGAAGGGAAGAGGGGGATGGGAGACCATCAGACCCATGCCCTAAGGTGCTCTCCATTAAAATTGGGGCAGAACTGAGCAAAGTTGTATTGTCACCTGGATGGTGCTCAAGACTCTTGCCAGCAATAGGTGCTATCTTGCACTCCTTGCCACGATGAATTTTGTGGGCTTGTTCTGATGCTGTTGTTAGATAAGCGAGATAAGTCCCAACAAAAACCATGAAATTTGGCAGAGTTCCTGCCAAACTTACTTTGTCATTCCATTGAACATCTGAAGGAACAGGTAATTGTTTTTGTAGTTAGATAATCATAATTTGCTCTTATCAACACACATATATAAAAAAAAGCTTGGCCGTTAAAAAATTGCAGCGAAAATGTACGCGCAAAAGGGCCAAATCTAGCAAACATGCCCATTTAACAGCACGCCAAATCTAGTGTGTGCGCTGATTTCAGATTGCGTAAGTTTATATAGTTTTATATTTCTGAAGACGCCATTGAAATACTAGTTTAATTTTTAAATCCTTTTTTTTGATATCCTATGGACTTAACAATTTGGGAATTGCCCATGACGAAAACTTGGCAATAGAATTTTGGGTAAAGTGCAGAATCACCCACTGCTTGACGTGTTTTTAAGAATTGCACATACTCTGTATCCATGTGCACATCGGCCTATTTTCACTTAAAAAAAAATCCTAGAATTGCACAAAAATGGCACTGCGCACACCCTTCACTTTATCTATGTACACATCGACCTATTTTCACTTAAAAAGTAAAAGAAAATTGACAAAAATCCAATTGTTTTTACCCTTGTAAAAAGCAGCAAACAAATAAGTGGGCGATTCTGCACTTTACCGAGAATATTTTCAAAGAAAAGGCATCATTTATTATAGAAAATTATGTTTGAACAACCAACGAGATGAAAATTATGCTTTAGCGATAAGTCGGTAGCGAAATAGCGATGCAGGCATCTATTCAGTTATGTTTAGCAATTTTTATATAAATTATAATAATGATCTGAAATAGTTATTTACTCTTATGCTTCCATTCAGTCATGTTTAGCCTTTTTCATATAAATTATAATAATAATAAAAACGTATTATATGAAATTAATCTTTCATCTAAATTAAAACATCAATCTTAAATTGTTATTTACTATTATACTTCCTTTCTTGCTGCGATTATTAGGGTTGCTGAAATTATTTTTGGCAGCATTGGCATCAACAATAGTTTGGCGATTTTTTACAGCCCTTGAAACCGAATAGTACCATTCAAACTTATGCCAATCATGGTGGCCAAAATTTCCCAGTAGCATTTAAAATAGCTACAACCTACTCATCTTTACTGTAAACTAGGCACAATACAAGTTACCTTAAATATGAATATATATAATGGTACATGGTTGTGCCATAATTTTTACTGTGCCATTTTGTTGAGCTCCAGAATCTTTCAGTTTTTTTTTGGGGGGGGAGAGTATATGCACTAGTATAACTAGTTTCATAATTTAAAAAAAAATATGAATGATTTCGGATTTTACATTGCGCCCAAAGGTGCGGTTTTGTAACGTTTTATATTTTATTAAATATCATGTTCTTCACTCTTAAACCATAAAATGCAGTTCAACAGCAATATCGCAAAATAATTTTAAAATGAGCATATCTTTAGATTTTCCGATACACTGTCTCACGCGCTGGAGATAAAAATCCCTCCCAATACAGTGTGCATAAGTCTCTTTCTTTCAAGTGCCAAAAATCATTTGACAAAATATGATTAAACATAGCAATGCAAACTCTTTGCGGTGGTGGGAAACTTTCATTCAAGCCCGATATTTGGAGTGACAATGCAGATATTTATGCTACAGCTTACTACTGCTTTGTCTAGAATGTTATTTAGAAAGACAAAAGAGAAACAAATCTGTGGGCAAGTGATGTTAGGAGAAAAGAAAAAGGGTGGGAACCTAGAAAGGCAGTAGCTGCTGTTTTACTAATATACATTGATTGATGGGATATCCCTTTCAGCCAATAACATTTTGTACTTTTGGGTCCTCCACTGTTTTCTACTTACACTGTCAACTTTCCTTTGTATAAATAAGGTAAAATTTAATTCAAGTTTTCGTAGTTTGGTATGGTGTTAAATATTGTACATGTGTTTATGTTGTGTATATGTTATATCTAATGAATTCCATTGGTTTTGCATTATGAATTTATGTACAAAGTGCTCTTTTTTATGTAATCATTTATTTATGTTTAATCATTTGGATCCAGGAATAGATTAATTAATTTTACATTAATTCCCATGGGAAAAATTATTTCGATTTGCGAAAATTTTCATTTAAAATCTATCTTTAGTAACAAATTATGTTCATGAACGAACTATATCTATTATTGGCAATAAATCTTCCTGTCTGGTGACATTTTTTGTTTGTCATAAGTAGTTGATGGGAAAATATATAAGTACCATTTTTTTTCATGTTCAGTTCCCTTAAATTTCAGAACAGATTCTGTAAAAATAAAGCAAAGGTTCCCGATTGCTTTTATTCATCTCCTCTCTCCCTTGTTCCCTGAATTTTTCAGTTAATATTGAAATCATTATAGGATTATTTTTTAGCCTATTGTTGTCCTAATAAGCAGTGAGGGGGGGAACAAATATCATTCTGTTAAATGTAAAAAAACTGTATTCAAGTAATATTATCTGAAGAATCTGAATATGTCACAATTTTTTATGTACTGTTCTGATATAAATTACTTCTGTTTGGAAGTTTCATTTCATATGAAATTAGAAATTGCTATATTATTTTTTTCTTTGTTATTATATGTTTATTGTGCTTACTTATTTCATTAAATTTATGTTTTGTTAGGTCATCAGTTTGTTGTTATTGATGTACCTCTTCTATATGAAAGTGGTAAAATGGTCAGATATATCGAAAAAACTATTGTCGTTGCTTGGTAAGTAGTATTATATTGAAATTAATTGGCCTACAGTAGTAGTATTTGATTTGCTTTCTGTTTATTTCTCTAAATTAACTTCTGGCCCACCAGCGGCCGAGCGGTAAAGGCGCTGAACACTGGTAGTTCGGTCCGAGGTTCGAATCCCGCAAACGGGCTGGCTGCATGGGCGTTTTCGTGGTTTTCCCCATGTGTAATGTGTATACGAGCCAGTTTCCCTTAGAAAGTCCTCCACGAAGGCATCCCTCCCCTTAGGCAGATAGCCCTCGTGTGCTTTGCCATAATTAAATACACCAACACTAAATTAACTTCTATCCATATCCTATTTATGTGTTGAAACATTTTAGTTGTAAGAGTATGTTTCATTATAGAATACCTCGTATGTTTGAAAACATACTGAAAACAGACATTTTTGCTGCAGTTTTTTTATACATTAAATTTTATAATTTGGAATTTGAATATTAGATACATTCTGAAAACACATAATTAAACACAAGGTGTGGTATGCTTTGTTAGAAATTTTCATCAGATGATTTAAATTGGAATTTTAATTAGTGGATTAAAAAAGAAAATTGACTAAATTATGATTTTCAGCTCTATTTTTAAAGAATTAACTGACCCACATTTTTAAAATGAAGTTAAAAACAAGGTGAAATATTCTAGGTTGGTAGATTAAAATCATGTTTAAACATAAATAATCTTTTGTAGACAACCCATCTGCTTTGTCAGCTGGAGCTGGAATGACTACATGAATATACAGTTTGGGGAAGTGCCTAGACAATAAACATGCTCTAATAAAAATTACGATGTAAAAAAAGAGATATATTAGGCCTTATGGCATATCTGATGTAGCAAATTTTACAGCAGTCTAACTTTGTTATTTATTCAAAATTTAAAAAGTTCTTTAACCACTCTTCTACAGATTTAACTTTGCTTAGTTGAACTCTTATATTTGTTTATAATTAAGGAATGTCTTCTATTAATGTTTTCTGTTCCAAAAGCACTTTATTTAGCTGCTGTTTTAAAACTAACAATAAAGCTAACTTTTTTTATAATTTTCTATAACATTAAGTAAATATAATTGTTTACTGATAAGTTTAAAATGTAATCAACATTGCTTTTATACTTCCTCTTCCCATAGAATATAATTATGTTTTGAAAAAAGTCTAGGATAAATAAATAAACATGTTAATTTTCCTTTTGCATTTTAACTTATTTTGTTTTTTCATTACCTATAATTGTCTCATTTTGGTTCTTTCTGTTAATGGGATGCCACTTAGGGCTGGTGCAAAGTCTAACTAGGTGGTAGTATAATGATTTTTTTTTTTCTTTTTTTCGAACGGCAGGCTCTATTTTGTCTTTTTTTTTTGACATTGGCTACTCCTAAGGTTGAAAGTGGGGACCATTTTATAGTGGAAGCACCTAATAGGTGGCCACTGTTACCTTCTGTGAAAAAGACGGACAGTTACAACCATGCCTTCTCTCTTCTTCTTGAACGCAGGCCCTTCGATATCGTAGTTGGCTCATTTAACCACTATATGATCTGGGTGGCAGGCCATAAATCTTCAAGAAAAGAATAATAATTTTATGTGTAATGAACATGTAATATATCTAGTCAATGTGAAAGCTGTGTACCAGAAATATATTCCCCTCAGAGGGAATTTCATATTTTTAGGGGAATGCAATTAGCCTTTTATTTAGCTGTTAAGTATTTAGTTTTAGTTATAACAAACCTAGTTTATTCAAATTTTAGTATTTTCAATATTTTCTACACTTTTCCTTAATTCATAAAACATGTTAAAAAAATCATCTGAATCTAGAAAACTCTCTATTTATTTTTTTTAGTTTTGGAAATGAGGGGGAAGGATTTTCTAGCAATGGTGAGAGGGGTATTATTATTTATTAGTGTTATTTTTAAATCAAATAATTAATCAAGCTGAAACCAAAGATGTTTACCTTGTTCCAAATGGTTCGTGCCAGGGCCACTGGTTGATCCTCCTACTCCATATGCAATCTTTCGAGATTAATTAATCCACAATGATCAATGCATCTTTGCACAACGCATTTAATGACACAAAATATCTACATAATATATGTACAGATAAAAAGGTTTAGAATTCTGGCATGATGCAGCATGCAACTTTTTCCTTCAGAGTTCTCGAGCGATTTCAGCCCGTGACTTCACAGTTCTTAATGACATTACACAGCAACCTCAGATCTCAACAGCAGTTGAATTGCAACAAGGAGTGTATGGGGTAAAAAAGATTGAGAACCTCTGCTATATACGAGGGCTATCCAGAAAGTAGATTACGTTTTGGAATAAAAAAATAAACAAAGTATAGGAAACAAATTTTATTATATACAGATGAAAGCCACACTCAAATACTACTTTTCTACATAGTCACCATACAAATTAAGGCATTTATCGTAGCGATGTACGAGCTTGGAAATTCCTTCGTCGAAAAATTCGGCCGCCTGCGCCTTCAACCACTTCGTTACCTCTTCTTGCCTTCCATCTTGCACAAAACTTGTGGTAACCAAGCTTTTCGCTGATGATTTCGTGCAACAAACTTCGCGAAATTTGTGGAAAACTCAAAGAAAGTTCCGTTATTGTGAAAGTTCGATTTTCACGGACAGCATCGACTTTTTCGAGAAGTTCGGCGGTCACTATGCTGGGTCTCCCACTTCGATCTTCGTCGTGAACATTGGTTCGGCCATTTTGAAATCTTATGACCCACTGACGCACTCCACCTTCAGTGATAATGTTGTCCCCATACACTTCACGAAGCTGCCGATAGATTTCTATCGGTTTACAGTTTTTTGCAGTCAGAAACCTTATTACTGAGCGCACTTCGCAGCTCGCGGGATTTTCAATTAACGCAGACATTTCAAACCGTCACAGTATCTGAACGGAGCACAGCACGAACCTCTCACTAGCACGGCTAGATGCAGACTGAGCTGCGCAACGCTCTGACCCCAAGATGGCCGCGCTAGCCCCACCCCTAGCGGACACAGACGGAAACGTAATCTACTTCCTGGATGGCCCTCGTACTATTCCAAATTTGTGTAATTTTCTGATGTTTTCAAGTGAAAACAGATCACTGTGTACTTGGGGAGAACAGAACCTTTGTTCTCACATGCATAGCTGTGGCATTGTGCATGTTTAAGCATTATGTATATCATGTTCATCATATATAAGATAATTATTCTTTTCATAAAGTTTTATGTTTCATTAAAGTTTCTTCCATCTAGATTTTTTGCCAACATTTATGTCAGAGCTGTGTGGCACCTCATTAACAAAAAATCTGATGTGTACACCATATGACTTCCTTGTATGGACTATTAAATTATATGCGATTTTTCTTGCATTTCATTTAAGTTTTATTGGATTGAATTAAATCTATTTCGTCGATAGCGCATAAACCACAATAAAATTAATGCACTCTTTAAAATTCACTATATTTTTTTTACCATAGCACTACTCTGGTGTTAGGTTCACTTAATAGCGTTATATTTCGTTCATATTATAACTCGGAATGCACAAAATTTATATCATTTGAAGAATTATCTAATTGTTTCCACGTGTTCTATTCGAATACTATAATAAATCTTGAACGATGTATGAAAGAAATTAAGCAAACAAAAAAGAAACAGTTTTTCACAGATGATTCAGTATTTCTCATTCAATTCAGTTCTCACTTCGTGAAAAGGCAAAAATACATCAAAACTCAAAATATCTATATTAAAAATTGCAAAGTAAATCTTAAACATTTATTTCCTCGAATAAATTCCAGAATGGATTAAGCATGATTTAATTCACAATAATAAAAGAAGGCGTTATCTTTGTTTTTGTGAAGCATAGTTTCTCTAGATTGGCAGCAAATCCGTTATTCTGCAAAGTTTCAAATGTAAATAAACATGGCCGCCATCGCAAACATAATTAGGTTTAGCGACACTTAAACAACTTTTGAATTGTTGATAACTCTAAGAATATTGCATGCAGATTTACTAAAGGCATAAAAACCTTAATCGGAAGTTAAGGACAACATAATTCAATCATTTTTAAAGTAAAAAATGTACAATTTACAAACATATAAGAGTAAGATAGATTACTGCGGTGGGTAACAGAGTGGATATATATATATATATATTTATATATGTTTGGTGTGGCCGATTGCAACCAAAATATGAGGTGCACCTCTACATGTAGCAGCCCTATATACAAAATTTCAATGTTCTGAGGCTATTCGTTTTTGAGTTATGCGAGATACGTACGCCACAAGAAATTCTCCTCAGAATTCATTTTAAAGCAGTTTTATAATTTTTTTTTTTTTTTTTTTTTTTTCTGTCTTTACATATATATGTAATGCAAAAACAACATTAAATTGCATTTGATAGTGGTCAAAATGGATATTTTCGTTGAAATATGCTGCCTGAAACTTTTCGCAATTACAGTATTTCATAAAAGGAAATAAAAAGTACCAAATTTTCTTTCATATACTGTTGAGAAACTTTTTATAACTATTGTTACTGAGATAGTAAAGTGATTTATTTTTTTAATATGTATTTTCAGTAGAATTGAATTCATATTTGAACTGTTATATTGCAGAAGTTAATGCTTCTGTTTTATTTACTTCGCTGTACTCTCGACTTTATGAACATGTATGAACTGCTAAAAAAGTTTAAGTTCATAAATTTAAAAATGCATTTTTTATTCACCTTCATGTTTTAGAGTTAGGAGGAAAAAATTGGTTGCTTCGTGACTGCATTTCAGTATATTCTTATAGTAATTTTATTTAGCTAACCGTGTATTTTTTTTTACAATTTCAGTTTTAGTCAAGACATACAGTTTAAATTTTTTCTGCCTTTTTCACAGTTATGGATGTTTTCTTATTATTGTTTGTCATAGTTATAAAATCAAAATTTGCTAAGTGATGTTATGTGGCATAGTTAGAAAATCAAAATTTATTAAGAGACAAAATGCACTTTAAAAGGGTGTT